TTCAATCCTCAAGAATAAATGTGTAGGAGGGAATCCCAGCACAATTTGGCCTTAATCCTGTTTCCAACTTTATGGGGCTTACTGCATGAGGCTTTAGTACTAGACCTAGGAGAAACCTAGGAATAAAAAGGGTGCCCTTTTTGGCGTAAAGGGTGTTATAAGGGAACCTAAACCCCAAAAAAGGGAATAAGGGCCTACTCTGGGTCCTAGCACTAAGAAAAAACCCTAAACCCTAAACCCTGAACCCTAAACCCTAAACCCTAAACCTAAACCATTAAGGACTACCTAAGGCCCTAAAGTAGTTCCTTTCTGCGGTTCATATTTGGGTAGTTCTCAGAATTATGGCCCTTTTTGGGTACCCTAAATATTAGGTGCCGTATTAAAATAAGGACCCAAAAAGGGACCATAATTTTGACGACCACCCATTTAGAATCCTATTAGGTAATCCCAAAAATGAAACTTGAGTGGAAGCGGAAGCTCGATCCGACCCCGCGAAGGCACCCAATTCAAGCGACTGGGCTCTGGAGTTTACATAGGTTCGGCTTTACCTATCTTAAGCTACCGAACCCTGCTTTTTTGTAGGTTCCTATAATCAACCCTACTATGGAATTTAGAGGGACCCTACGAAAAAGTAGGTTTGGGTTGGTTAAGGTATACTATACTGAACTTAGAACCCTAGCACAAATTAAAATTTTAGCTGTTTCTTAGGGATTACAATAACCAAACATTAAAACTATTTCTAAGTACCCCTAAGTATAGGGTCATACCCTGCCCCCTTTTGTCAGGATACCTACTTTCCTGTATGAGAAATACCAGCAGTTCAACCATAAATCTAGGCACTTCGAAAAGGGGTTGGGTAGTATGCCCTATATCGGTAGCTGTAGGGATTGTAATAGGTTGGTAGGTTCTAGCTGCGAGGGCTCATGACCCAACTAATTACGTGCCTATATTCCAACTCAAGTCAAATGCTCACAGCTCCCTACCTTCACATGAGCCGAAATCCACAACTGCAACCTGGAAAAAGCAATGCATATCGTTGGCCCAGAAACCCGCAACGCCCAATCCTCCAGCAAGCCTTTCCCGCAGCCTCAAAACCACAAATCCACGGCCTGCTGAATCTGGAGAGCCATTCGCCGGACTTTGCTGCCGGCATGGTAAACGTCGACCTGGTCGGTGTACCTGTTAAGCCAAGTAGAATCAGTACCTTAGGAGTTTTCGGATCTTACATGATCTTACCGTGTCTTTACCTACATGGATGGCGATTTATCGTCCCAGCCACTCTGCGCTTAGGAGGCCGAGGTCAACAATAGCATCAGCAGTAGACAGCGCCTGTGGGTTCAGGATGGTACTTAAAGGATCATGGGACTTATACTTATAACCCCAATTAGGGTGCTTATAACGTTACTTTCTAAGTCCCATGATCCTCCAAGTATACAGGGTTTAGGTGTACGTCTTCGCCTCATGTGGCAACACGTGCAACCAAGACCACAGGCGGCACCATTGGAGATCAAAGCAAAGGAGCCATGAAGCGTAACAATACGGTTGATGATATAAATCCTGCACTACCCATAATAAGGAATATGCCATTATGTCCATAGTTTAGGGTCCTTAAGGTAATGCAGGATTTATATCATCAACAGTAACAGCAGCTTCAATCAATCTTGCCAAGGACAGGTCAGGAGCAAAACACTGTAATCAAGCTACTGACTGGAAGCAGGTTATGTGGATGTGACGTTGGGTTTCGGTGCAGGGAATCCGGGAGCTGGGGAGATGTATCCAGCTTGGGAACGTCCTACCCCCTTGTCCCGAACAATGGCCCTATCTACGCTCGAAGCTTTGCTACTAAGATGAACCAAAATTCAAACCCTAAGCTTGATAATCCTAGGGACATCCATGAGTCATAGAGCGAACACGCCAACAGGTCTAGATTTTTCCGTTGGCCGGCAGTTGCCAATGCCCACAAACGCAGCACTTAATTGTGCAGGTAAGTGCAAGTTTCCTCGCTTGCGCGGCAAGAACCACAAGCCGCAGGTGCCTGCTGCACCTAGAGGGCTGCCCTAAGGTCACACAGAAACACACAAACACCACATCTTCAACAAAATGCCCCAACAGGCATGTAAACCAAAACAAGTTGTACAACTTCGAGAGCGGAGCGCTGTTAGTGACCTCAAACGACACCCGCAGTATTCACCCAAGATCCATCTAGAGCAGCCCTCTGTTAAAGAACAGCCGGCAGTCAGAGTCCCTTCCCCCGACTCTAGCCGGAATCTTGGCCACCAGGACAAGTTTAATGTTGGGGTGTAGATGGCTCGTGGTTTGGGGATTAAAGTTTAGGGGTTTCGGGTTTCGGGGTTTAGGCTGGTTCAGGGTTTAGGGGCGGTTAGGGTGGGTGTACCTAGACCCCCAAACTACCCCCTAGTATACCTTAAACTTTAACACCTACGGTTAAGGACCACGAGGGCTCTATTTATTAATTACAAGGTCTGTTTGCTTCTTTTTTGAGGGGGGTTCTGGTATTTGGCTCGTGGACAGTATAGGGCTTCTGATAGGCTTAGAGCTCAAAGTCTTTAACCGTCTAGTGCTGCTGAGGCTTTAGGGTCTAGGGTAGGTGCAGCGTCTTCCAAACTTCCCCGAAACCCTAAGCCCTAAGTTCTTTTGACCCACACAGGAAGCCTCGGTTGATCAATCAATAGGAGCGCCAATCAGGCATTCTGACCCCACTGGTGCAAACGTGTGCCGACACATAAGATGCTATAGAGCCACTACATGCTGGAAACAAGTATGCGAGCGTCATGCAACATCGTCTGTATTGAAAATTTAACATTTAACAAAACCAACAACCCCTGATGCAATACTCGTAGCTCCATAGTTCCTTTCGGGGGTTACCTTTATAGGATTCTAAATATGAGCCCCAAAAGGGAACTACTATGGATCCTATAGGTATACCCTTTAAAAGTGAACATCTCCAAGCATCGGGTTGACACTGAGCGAACGACAGGGCTTTCAGAAGACACCCATGCGCTCCCGTGTAGTGTAATATAGGAGCCTTAATAGTTAGAGCAGTGTCTTGGGGCCATTACACTATAAACTATAAATTTCTTGCGGAACCCCCAATAGTATTGGTAACTATTTGATATTACGGGCCTTGCGAATTACAGTAGGCTAGTGTCTGGGGGTGTATTACAATATAGCTATTCCAGCCCATGGAATACAAAATTACGGTTAGGTAGGGGCCTTGTTACTTGGAGTTAGTCTTGGGGTACATTATCGTAGAATTCGGAACCCTAGCTACAGAATAATATTGGCAATTTTGCAGGCTCCTATATGTATCTCACTACAGCCTACATCCGGGCTGCAAACGATCAGAAGGGAAAATGATCTGACCCATGGAGGATCTCTGCGATTCTGGCTGAGGATTTAGGTTATAGAGTCTGGGATTTAGGGTTTTACCCAACCTGGCAGCCAACCCCAACGATCTCGACTGCTTGTTGCCACTTTTGTGGAACAAAATGCCCCATGTTGCTGCAGATAGCTAGCACTGCAGACTAAAGCTGTACTGAGAACAAGTGCCGCGAAGGTCCAAGTCGCGTCGAAAACCTACACAGTTCAGCCCCAAAGCGTTATTCGTACGAACCGGAAGCCAATCCTGAACAACGAAATCTTAAACTCTAGCCCGTACACACACTACCCCAGGCCCTAAGCTCAAGTCTCCAAAACCTCAAAGCTAGAATCTTTTAAGGATCCCTTTGGGGAACCCAATATCACTCTTACACAAACCCTCTAACTTACCATAAACCCTGTGACCATAAGGACCTTAATAGCTCTGACAAGGACTGAAAAGGATCTAATAAGGCCTATTTACAGAAGTAGAGTAACGCACCTCCTCTCCGCTACCCCCTAAGGGTCTCTATGATCTAACCCACAGGGTCCTATGTACCAATATAGTAGAATGTAGGGTTTTCATATTAGGCCATATTACGGATTACGATTATGACTTAGGGAAGTATCCCCCATAACAGTACATAGGACCCTTTGGGTAAGGGTCTCTATGATCTAACTAACCTGCAATGCGACGGACTTGGATCTCCCGGCATCGGCCAGGCCATGGAACGCGAGAGGGCACTAGGAGCCTCTGACCCTTTGCCCTGGAGCGAGGTTCAGGATTTAAGGCTTAGGGTTCAGGGTTCAGGATTTTAGGCTTAGGGCTGAGGGTCGAGGATTTAGAGTTGAGGGCTTTGTGTGCAGCTTATTTTTGGAGTGGCTTGGGGGTAGAGAAATTTTAGAATTTCGGCAGGGTAGGTGTTTCGGGCTTTGGTCTGCTAGGGTTTGCTTAAAGGATCATGGGACTTAGTAACCAGGGTTATAATTAAGGTAACTATACTTGTAACCCCAATTAGGGTACTTATAACCTTACTTACTAAGTCCCATGACCCTCCAAGTAGGGTTTGGGATTTAGGGCTTTGCCTCTGACCCTTTGCGGTTTCGCATCCAACATCCCTACAAGCGGGTTGGCTTCAATAGTTTATGTTTCGTTGCTTGTTGGGAGTCCTAACGTACATCATACAGGTCACTAGCTACGTTCGGGTCTATAGCGGTCTTAGCAAGTAGACAATAAAAACTACAGTTGGCTATATAACGACTGGAAGAGCACATTAAGATTTACTGATTATTCGGACCGCTATATTACGTCAACCCTACACCATAGACCCTGAAGCCTATATATCCTATATTACGTCAGAGAGACCCAGAGGGTGCATATACACTACTATTATGGAATTACAGTAAACCCCATAAAGTTGGAAACCGGATTCAGGCCAAATAGTGCTGGGATTCCTTATACATTACTCTTAAGGATTGAGGCTATGGAGTTTCCAACTTTTGGGCTTCTACCGTACCATAGGTGCCGAAAGACCATCCCCATTAATTATGGTTCTGGGGACCTAATTCCATAATGCTGTGGGAGAGGCAGAGGCTCACAGAGCTGTGGGAGAGGCAGAGGCTCAGAGAACATCCATGTTCAGGTCCACCGGGTCCAACACAACCACGTTGGCTCGATGCTTTCGCCGCTCCTGGAGACTATGAGCACACACCAAATGAAAGCCGAAAAGAGTAGTGGAAGGGCCTTAATAGCTAAAATACGGTTTTGGGGTATGTTATACAACAATCATAAGAAGGAGCCCCCAAAGTAGTATTGGTAATCATTCAGGCTTTTGTACGGGTGATGATATAAATCCCGCATTACCTTAAGGACCCTAGACTATAACAATTATGGTATACTCCTTATTCTTGCAGGATTTATATCATCAACCGTAGTATTGGTAATCCCTAAACCCTAAACCCTAAACCCTATGTTTGGGTACTTCCGGACTTTCAGGATTCACGATTCAGGAATTGCCCCGGGATCCATGTAGCCATGTGGGTAGTTGCCAAAATTATGTCCCCTTTTTGGGGTACCCGAAAATAATAGGTGCCGTATTATAATAAGACCCAAAAAGGGACGATAATATAGATAACAACCCAGGAAGTGCATACCTTACCCCTGTAGTACTTGCGCAACACCGTCGAACCTACACAAAACTTGAAGATCTGGTAAGTTTATGTAATCAAATACACAAAAACACCCACAAACACATATACATACATGAATTGGCTATGCATGTATGCCTGTACAAGCTATGGCATGTACGCATGTATGGCTGTATGTTGGCATGCTTGATGTCAGCTTTATACATGTAATATGCCTGCCCATGTGCTTCAACAGATGTTACATGGATACAGCTAGAGCAGGTAGCATACAGTTTGCAAAGCATCCATACACGACTCGAACAGGAGCACGTACTGTTGAGGGTTCAGGGTGTTGGAGTGGTCTTGGGGCTGCAGGGGGATCACAGTATATAACCTTAAGCCCTAAACCCAAACCGCTAAACCCCTAAACTCCTAAACCCTTAACCCGAAGACCTAAAACCGAACCCCGGCCCTAAACCCTAACTGTTGGCTTAAGGTCAACGCTCCAGGTCTGCGGCTTTGCAGAAGGAGTCCTTCAGTCGATCCAAGAGATTTGCGCCTGGGATCGGGTTTAGATTTAGGGTTTATAAGGGCTTAGGGCTGAACCAAAAAAACCTCACCTTAACCTACCAATCCCTACCTTTTTTGTAGGTTCTTATTATAAACCCTGATATGGAACTCATAGGGACCCTACTTTTTTGTATAGAGTTTAGGGTTTAGGGCTTAAAGGGTTAGCGTTGAGGGCTTCTAAAGTTTAGGGTTTAGGGTTTAGGGTTTACAGGGTTTTATAGGGCTTATAGGGTTTAGGGTTAGGGCTTAGCGTTTAGGATTGTTTTTTGTTACCGTGGCCCCTAGCAAACCAAACCCTGGGTCTCATTGCCAGAAACGCATGCCAAAAGGGTCCAAGTACGGGTTCGCCCACATGTTGATTGGTTTGCTGGGAAGGGAAGAAAGTACCAGTCTGCCAGCAACCCTGGCACGTGTTTACGAGATCCCTCACCACACAAGACTCAGTGCAAAGGATTTCTACGGCTGACAGGTTTTAGTCTGTGTAGAGGGGAATATAACTTTCCAGAAAAAGGGACACGGTAGTTTCAGGCAGAATCGAGCCCGGTGCACATCGCTTGGGGCTAACAGCTGATAGGCTCTTGCTTTACGGATATAGGTGTCGCATCTTGGGGATTCTTGCAAGCGCCAAGAGCGCAAAGCCACGGTGCCTCTGCGCCCACAGCAGTGTAGTGTTTAGGGTTAGGGTTTGGGGTTCGGGCTCAGCAGTCTTGGATGAGGATCCAGGAACCTAGAACCCTACTGTACCCCTCCGGGGACCCTATTATAGAACCCTGTAGACACTTTTAAAGGCACTTGAAACCTGAACCTCAGATCGCGGCCGGTCTCGTCGCCCTTGGGCTTCTTGGCCGGCACGGCCTCCACCTCAACGAGATCAATTCAGGACGCTCTGTCGGGTGCAGGTGCAGGGTTTGGGGTTTGGGGGTTCATGGCCTCAAGGGTGTGGGGTTCAGGGTGTAGGTTTAGAGTGTGGAGTTCGTTTGCTGGGATTCCGGCATGGGTCCATTGTAGCTTCGTTCCTCGAAGGTCTCAACATGTAGTTTGGGCTTTGCAATTGGGGATTACACCTGGAGGGTTGGTGTTTCAGGGTAGTTGCGTTGCTCGTTCGACGCGAGAGGTTTGTAGTCACTGTCTAAGTTGGCTTTTGGCCACGAGCCGTAGGTAGCCGCGTGTTGCTAGGTGTGTTTCTTGCTCGCAGCCACCGCAATGTCCAAAAGTCTTGAAAAACCTTAGGGATGCGAGGGGGCAATACTTCCAGATGAACAGTCTTACAACAATCGCTGCCAGCTGCCGACTAAGTTGTGTTCCTGTGTTCCGGATTTTAGCCCTACTTTGTTGTACTTTGTGGTTTGTTTGTGCGTTGGGGGCCAAAGGGTTACGGAGACTATTGTGGGAATCTCAGAACCTATAATGACAAATAAGCCAACCACAAAGTACACTAAGCCCTACTTGTAGCCCTAAACCGACGGAGCAGTGGCCTCATCGTCGTCGTCATCGTCGACTTCCATCGGCTCATTCTCGTCACCTCCCTCATCCTGCCAGGGTTCGCTGTGGGTGGTTGTCGAAATTATGGTCCCTTTTGTGGGCACCCTCATTTTTAGGTGCCGTACTATAATTGGGACCCCAAAAAGGGGACCCTAAGTTTGACAACCACCCCTGTATCGCACCCAAACGCTACAGCCTTAGAGTGTCCGGGCCAAGCCCTGTGATAGTGGCAACACTCACCTGGAACCTGAAGAGCCTTCCTTCTGTTGATGGACAAAATCCTGCATGACCCATTATAAGGAATATACCATAGTTCCCATACTTTAGAGTCCTTAGGGTCATGCAGGATTTTGTCCATCAACAGTTTTTCGGGTTCCCGAATATGATGTCTTTATATATAAGTCCTTACAAAGGTAGGTTCTTCAGGGTCACGGCATCGTAGCCCTTACAGCATTGAAGTAGACCTCGAAAGCAACACGGGAAACTTTCTTACAACCTAAACCCGGGAAGCCAAACACACACAGAGATGATTATCCTGGAGTGATGGGGCCTCTGAACCCTCGCAGCCCTCACGGCTTGGGAATTGAAGCTTATAAGGCTTCTTTTTGGGGGAGGGGTTTAAAGGTTAGCTTAAGGATCTGGCGGATCCAGCGGTGTGGGCTGAACAAACCCTGCTACAGGCTGCCGCAAGCATTGCCCAAAACTGGTATACGGATGATCAGGACTTGCAAATCTAGCGCCCCAAAAAAGCACATAAGCAAAAATATGGATAGGGATATCCCATATAAACCCCTTATAAATGAGCCCAATAAGGTAGGGATATCCCCATAAAATGCTTATGCTTATGTGCTTTTTGGGTCCCTAAAAGAATCAACCCTTTCTTCAATTCGAAGTGTAAAACCGCGCCGCATTCTGATCCTTTGCCGTCACAGAAGGACCTATAGTCTCCATTGTAGCTCCTGTTTTTGGTCAACCAGTTTGATTTTTAGGTACCTATAATAAAGATTTTGATTAACCAAAAGAAGGAACTACAATGGAGACTATAGGGAGGCCCAAAATTGCTGTACATAAGCTGATAGGTGTGCTTGGGCTCTAAGCAAACCGAAAGCAATCCTACTGCTGATGGACAAAATCCTGCATTACCCATTATAAGGAATATACCATAGTTCCCATAGTTTAGAGTCCTTATAGGGTCCGGTATTGTGTCCATCAGCAGTATTCCCAAAAGCACCTAAAACCCTGACATCCCTAAGCAGAGCCTCTTAGAACCCTAAAACTTTGGACCCCAAACACCCCAAGCCAAAACTTGCTTATGAAGAACCTCTTTTTTTAATTTCGGGAACCCAAACCCAAACCTAAATGCTAAACCCAACCCCTAAACCCCTTCTCGACCCTATAAAGACACCCTTCTCAAATCTGGGCCTTGGCTCCGGACTTGCGGCGGCCGCGCCCCGCAGGCGCCTTGCTCGTTTCAGGAGTGTGGTTCGGATTTAAGGTTTAGTTTAGGGTTTAGGGTTTAGGGTTTAGGGTTTAGGGTTTAGGGTTTAGGGTTTAGGGTTTAGGGTGGGCTTCGGGTTTACAGGGTTTAGGGCTTAGGGTTTAGAGGGTTTAGGGTTCAGACTCTAGGGTTTCGGCCTTAAAAGCTTTGGGGTTTAGATTCTTTGGGAAAGTGTGGGGGTTTAGTAAATTTAGGGCACAGCGTTTCATCTTAGGAGTTTGGGGTGGCTTGCGGATACACTCGGAGTCTCCCGAGTAAAGGATTTCAGGTTTTCTGTACGGACCCCTCCAGAAGGCGACACCCGATTCACACATGTTCTGAAACACTACAAGCACGAAACTTTAAACCCGAAACACGACTCCCCCGCCCCGAAAAGCTTTGCAAATTCCACCCTAAACCCTAAACCTGAAACCTTGAACAAACCCTAAACTCCCCGCATAACCTGAAACCTTAAATACACCCTAAACTCCCTGCATAACCTGAAACCTTAAATACACCCTAAATTCCTTGCATAACCTGAAACCTCAAATAAACCCTAAATTCCCTGCATAACCTGAGACCTTAAATACACCCTAAATTCCCTGCATAGCCCTCTACATCCTCGAACTCCCCTGCCAAACTGTTCGGCCAAAAAAATCGAGATCCTTCCAATACTTGGAGGTTCATGGGTAGTTATAAGTAGGGCTATAAGTAGGGTAACTATACTTATAACCCCTATTAGGGTACTTATAACCCCACTTCTAACAACCCATGAACCTCCAAGTATGAGGTGAAGACCCGAACAACCAAGCCCCCCCCCCCCCAAACCCCCTCAAAACCCTGAGAAACCAAAGCTACAAAGCCTTCAACCCAAATCTTAACCCCAAAAAACCTACCATTTTAAGGACTTATATAAGGAACTCATAATATTGGAACCCTAAAAAAGGAAGGTTTTATAGAATCCAGGAAACTCCTGAAGCCCGAATCCGAGGCAGAAATGTCTGCAAAAACCGCAAGATCTAAACCCTGCCTCAACCTTGATCCCGATTATCAACCCCAACCCTAAACCCTAAAGCCCAAACCACTAAACCTTATGAACCCTGAACCCTGACACCCTAAGCTCTTAACCCTAAAACCCCAACACCTCGAAACCCTGAACCGTTTCGTAACCCTAGCTCCCCTCCCCCAAAGACCGCCGTTCTGGCCTTGGCCTTCGGTCGCGCGCGCTTGCCGGACCTGGGGGTGGGGGGCTTCGCAGAGTTTAGAGGTCGAGGTTCAGGGTCGTTTGAGGTTTAGGAGTTTAAAGTTTGGGGTTCACAGAGACTCCAACATCCCTTAATTAAGGAATATACCTTAAATGATATTAGGGAACCTACACTAACTTAAGACAAATTCCTTAATTAAGAAATATTGGAGTCCCCTAAGTTCAACCCAGAGAGCCCAATACCCCTTCATTCAGGAATTTGCCTTATTAAGTAATATATTATTGAGCCCCCTCTAATTTAAGATATTTCCCTAAACCCTAAACCCTCAACCCTCTAAACCCCAAACCCTAAACCGTGCATTTTCCTTACTTAAGGGACATTGGAGTCTGTGGGGTGGGGCTTCGCAGGGTTCCGAGGTCGAGGGCTGAGGGTCCTTTGGGGCTTTGGAGTGAATATACATAGACTCCGCAAAAAGCATGTGCATATATATATATATATAAACAAATATATATATATATATATATATATATATATATATATATATACATATACATATATATATACACATACATACATATGCATATTACACAAACATAAAGTTTGTTCCGTATTGATTTCTGATTAATCATGCCTCCGCTGAATTTTGAGTCAAAAATTAATCTATCCTAAACCCTGCATCCTCAACCCTATACCCGAACCCCAAAAATAGAAATATCCTTAGAACAATGCCGCTGTGCCTGAGTCGGCCCTCCTCTTTCTTGGCCTCGTCCTGCAGGCTGTGGATGCAATTTTAAAGGATTTTTGGGCTCAGGGCTTGGGGCTTATAGTTTATAGGGCTTAGAGGAGTTTAGGATTCAGGATCTGGAAGCTTCATATATCTTCTTGGAACCGCTGAGTTTTTATGCAAGACGTCCGACCAACGAGGGTCTATACCAGTGACTCCTGTTTTTCTGAATTCCATTTACGGTTTGGGCTTTGGGGATTTGGGATTTGGGGTGTGTGGGCTTGAGTGGAAAGAAGACGTGGAGGCCAAATTCAGGGCTAATTGATGTCTTGTGATTCTATAGGTTTTCATGGGGTTGTGCACGCCACCGTTCACTGCGGCGACAAGTCATAGCGCTGCACAATGTATGACTAGGATACCTAAGAATAAAAAAGCCTCTCTTTTTGGTAATTATTGGGTAACTTTATCAGGAACCTAGGACTACAAAAAGGGAATAAGGGTACTACTGGGCATCCTAGTCATGCTATAAGTATACTTGCATCAAAGAAGAGAAGTCCTAAGGAATGGTACTTCCGCATTGCACCCGGTTCAGGATGTCCTCTTCAGCGTCCATGCGATCAAGCTCAACCACGATTGCATCCAGATCGCGCTCCCAGAGAGCCTGGTTTGGGGTGTAGGGCCACGGTGTAGGGTTTGGGGTTCTAAACCCTAAACCCGAACCCTGAGTGTAGGGTTTGTGAGGGGGTATCGAAATCGGGGCGCAGAGGCCTCGACTAATCGTTCCAACGATGCTTTGGGGGCACACTATATACTCTGAAGGTAGAGGCACCAAACTGAAAGAACGTTACTCAAATTTTAACCCTAAACCCTAAATAAACCTCATGTCCCAAGCCCTAAGCCCTAAACCCTATAAGCCTTAAACCCAGAAGCCCTAAATCCCAAATCCCTAGATACTTCCGTCGTTTTCGCGACTTTGCTTCACGGCGTGGAGCTTCGCAAAGCCCCGAGAGCACCAACGATCTCAAAGCCCCTCACTTCAAGCCGATATTCTTCAAATCAGTCTGTTTGGGGTTTACCTTAACCCTGAATAACCTCCTTTTTTGGGTTTCTTATTCTGATTTCCTTATATATAAGCCATTAAAAAGGTAGGTCCTTCTGGGTTAAGGTAGGGTTTAAGGTTCAGGGTTTGGCGTCGAGGGTTCAGGTTCGTCTTCTGGGATCAAGGTTTGATCTGCGTGCCTGGGGTTTACTGCTTGTGAAGGAAACACCGTCGGCATTCAATAGAAGTTCCTTCATTATTGTCTATGGGGCTTTCCGAAAATAGGGGACCCAAATGTAGCGCCCTAAATCGTACGATCCTTATTCTCGGGACCCCATGATAAGTTACCCCTAATTTTCGGAAACTCCTCCAAAGGTGCCTCCGGAGTGGTGTTCTGAAGATCGGTCAACTCCTGCGTCTTCTCTTTGGCTTGCCGCCTGCACAGCTTCAAGCGGCCCTTTAATCGAACTTACGGCTCAGACCTGAAGGGCTTGTAAGGGTTATGAGGGGTACTGGGTTGTCCTTTAAGCCGTTTGACAATTATTTACCATTGTGGTTCTCTACAAAATAGTAGGGGAGATTAAAAACGATCCCAAAGGACAACCCAGGGTTTTTGGTCACGCGCTCCCCCCGCCCCCCCCCGAAAGGTCAATGGTCCGGATATAGGGTGGGACCCCCCCTCCCCTGTGGTGTGGGGTGTGGGGTCCCTCTTCCCCCTGTGGGGTGGTTGTGGGGTTTTGGGGTTTAGGGTTTAGCTTAAGCTTTTGAGTGTTGGGTTTACGGTTACAAGGTATAGCGCTTCGAGTCGACAAGGGCTTAGGGAGGATTTGCGGTGTATGTTCTGCTTTAGGCTTAGAGCCTGCAGTTAGGTGGGGTTTAGGGTTGGGTGTATGTTTGAAGTACAAGTTAAGGTTACTCAAAACAGGCGCACGCGCTGCGTTATAGGGTTTACGGCTTGCTTGCGAAGGGCTTGCGTGCGAGCCCTGGCCGCCAGCACCATCCCACCATCCAGTGGCAGTTCCAACAGCCCCGACCCCTTTCCGCACACGCCAGCCCCCCCCCCCCCCCCACCCCTAGCAGACCATACCATTGGGGGGGGGGGGGGGGCTGGGAACGCCAGACGCCTGACCATATATGGGCTGCTCGGGTTTACAGGGTTTGAGGTCAGGCAGCCCTTCATTAGGGCTTGGGGCTTGTAAGGGAGATGAGAGTCATAAGCTGTACCTACCTGCCAACAGCCCGGAATCCTAAACACAGGCCATACACCCTAAACCCAAATCACTGGAGAGTCTGGAGGAGCATGAGCTAGGGAAGGGGGGGGAACTGTACGCATATGGAGAAACTAGGAATGACTAGAACTAGGACCAGATACTTAAGCGCGGCTTGAACGAAACAGGCAATGCAAAGGTGATAGTACCGCTAAGGACACTTCCAATTGCAAAGGTGTGGCGATGCAGGCAACACTCTTGAACATCAGAACACGAACGAGAGACGACACCAAGTCATGCCGGACCCAGCAACAAGGAATCCTGCTGATAAGTGTGATGATCCAGATGCTAAGGAATTACTAACGGCAATTCCAGCATTTATTGTGATGCTCTTCCTCCCCAATGTTCAAAGTGCCCTAGTTTCCGATTATGGAGGCGAGGCAATCTTACACAGGTTCGAGGACTATGTCAAGTTCAGGCTTGAGCTGAGTCCACGGGATCGAGGTGTTTTATCAGCACGCCTGTCTGTAATCATTCCTGTTTCTTGTGTTTCGTCAAGGGTTTTGGGTCCCATTATACTACAAGTGTAACAAGGGACTTCCAAAATAGTTTTGGTAACTATCTAGGCCCCAACAGTATGCTCTCCCGAAGCCTGGAAGTATCTGTATTTGCCAAGCGGCGTAGAGACTGTTGCGGTAGCTGCTGTGAAAGGTTTCTCAAGCTAAGGGTTCCGCACTGCTGTGATCGGTGGAGTCTGGGTTAGGGTTTAAGTTTAGGGTGTAAGTCTGAGGCAAACGGAGTTGATGTAATTAGCAGGTCAGGACCTGGCTTGCGAGAAAAAAATAAACGCCCTAAGCAACCCTAAACCCTGAACCCTCACCCCTAAACCAAAAGCCCGGAACCCCAAACTCTGAGCCCCAAAGCATGCCTGAGGTCTTCCACACGCTCGTAAGTGAGCGACCACAGAGGCATGCCAAGCCTCTCCAACTCCGGCGATTTCGCCGTTTAGGGTTTTGAGTTTAGGGTTATCAGTTATGATGATGGGAGGGAATGGCTTGAAGGTCTTGCCTCTCATCTCGAAATCCCTCAACCACAAACCAGACTTTCTTCATCCTTCTTTGCGTTTTGTGGTCTTGCATGCTTTGATGTGGGAATGGTGATTTCAAGGCTTTATATGGCACCTGGTTGCCTTGATAGATCACATGAGGAGAGGCACCCTACACCCTTAACCCCTTGGGCCCTTTCACCCCTTGAGCCCTAAACCCGTAACTGCACCCTGAACCCTAAACCCGAAGCCCTTAAATTATGGACCTCACAAGCCCTGACCCTAAACCCTGAACCCCCAAACCCCTAAACCCTGAAACCCCAAACCCCTAAACCCCTGTAAGACCCGGCGGACGGAATCTGAGGCCAGGGCAGGTAGTCGAAACCCGATTTGGGCTCTTTAGCCTGGCTTCTGGGTTTTTGGGAGGGGCCTTTGAGGGTCTATGCGGGTTTAGGGTTGAGGCTTAGGGTTCCATAAGGGCCCTATATATAAGGGATCCTTAAGGGTACTTCTAGCAGTCTATACGGGCTTCTTAAAGGCATCTACAGGGTTGAAAACTGGGATACCCAGTAACCTAAGAATAAAAAGGCCTCTCTTTTTGGTATTGGGTAACTTTATAAGGAACCTAGGACTACAAAAAGGGAATAAGGGTACTACTGGGCATCCTAGAAAAGGAGCTCTGAGGGCTTTGGAGTCTGCAGGCATGCGGTTTAGGGTTCAGGGTCGGGGCGTAGGGTTTGGCTTCAGGCTTTGGGGATGAACACTATACCCCCCTTCAAACCATAAAACTATTTGTTCGTTATATCCTCTTGGGTTTTATATGAACAAACAAATAATTCAAAAGAAGACTGGAGAAAACCCTGCGTACACCCTCCCTCCTGTCGTAGTCCTTCTTGTCGTGCAGCGTTCCTCATACACTTCGACGTGAATCTTTCTGCGCCACCCACAACTCTAAACCCTGACCCAGAGGTTAGACCGATTGAGGGCATCGAGCTTTGCGCCACAAGCTTTGGAGTTGCTTCGCCTTCAACCGCAAGCCCCATCATTCAAACCTGGAGTTCGAAATCGCAGCTCCAGCCCCAAATTTGAGGTCTCGGGTTTACGGTTTAGTGTTCAGGCTTCTGGTTTATAGGTAGGCTGTAGGGTTTAGGGGTATACAGGGTAGAGTGCTAGTCTGGGCTCGGAATTCTAACGCTTGCGGCACGAACCCGAAAGCATGAACCCAGAAAGCCGCAACTCGATCTGCTCCGAACTGAATCCTGCCTGTAGTCTCCATTGTAGTTCCTTTTTTTGGCTAACCAAAATCTCTATTATAGGATCCTAACCATAACACTGGTTACCCAAAAAAGGAACTACAATGGAGAGTATAGATGAACCGACGGCCTGCGTCACAGCAGGCTTGCCCTCTTCCTCCTTGAGAGGTTTAGAGGGGTTTAGGGCTTAGGGTTCAGGGTTTAGGCCTTGAGAGGTTTCGGGCTCAGGGTTTATAGAGTCTAGAGGTTTGTTGTCTAAGGGTTTAGGATCCAGGGCATAGATCTTTCATGCCGGAACTACAAACTCCAGCTTCGGACCACCATGAAGCCGAAAGCCGCAATTAGAAACAACAGTACGGTAAGTGGTTGCAATCCGAACCTTAAGCCATCTGGCTACGGGGAGTGTCAGGTGGCGTGGGAACCGACTGATTGCTTCCACGAACAGTTGCCTGGTTGCCTCACGCTAACCTCAATCCTAACATGGAACCGTTATAGATGCCGTAAGGGAAACAATGACCTATATAAACTCTTCCACAACGCCATTGAAACAAATAAGCACGGAACTCCTTAGTTTGACGTCAACCCTAAACCCTTAACCCTAAACCCCTAACACCTAAATATCTTTAGGGTGAAGTCAACAAAAGCGTCTCCTCCTCACTGCGGGTTTTGCCGAAGATCTCGTTGTAAGGCCTGGCGACCCAATGAGGCCACGACAATCCTAATAAAGGGGCCTGAATAATTAGAATAGGGTTCCTGTAGAGGGTTCCTTACAGGGCTCTATATGGGATCTATAGCAGGGTGCTGTAACAAACGGGCCTTAATAATCAGAAGACCCCCCAACTACCTTCTATTCGAGCCCAAATGCCCATTGTTAAGGACCATAAGGGCTCTGTGAAACGGCCATTGGGGGGGGGTCCTGGATGAGGCTTCAGGGTTTAGGGTGGAGGCGATAATAACCGAAGCACGGCACTTTTGTAAGAACAGTCTGGAATTTATATATCTCGGAAACCCTGGGGTGTATTATCATCGTACTTGTTTTGTTCGGCTTTGCATACAATCACCACTGTACCACAGCAGCAAACGAAAATGGCAGCTATGTTCCTAGTCGTGCACTGGTAGGCAACGCTGCTGCTGATCGTAATCACAAGAACAGGAAAGGATGGAGCGGGGCCCCAGAAACGACGATGGCTTGGAGCAGTGCTTGGACCCTCAACCGAGGCGGACTGGCTTCCGGTTTAGTTTAAGAGTTTGCTTCCATCCTTCGGACTTATTCTTAATAGAATTTATACCATTATACTATCACCTACGATAACATACAAAGTTACATAAACATAGATTATAAATATGACATACTTATGTGTGGTGTTTCCGGGCCCAAGCACGACACCCGCAAACAGCCCTTTGTGCCCACGTGCGCACAGTCTGCACACTCCAAAATGGTAAACCCCCAAACCAAAATCTTTCAAGACTCCTGAAGCCCAAAACCCTTAAATCCCAAAACCCCTAACTTCCCTAACCCCCAAAACCTTCATCCCCACTCGAATTCCCGAACCCCTAAAGCCTATAAACCCTAAACCCACAACCCCTGTATCGAAACCCTTAATAGGCCTTAAACCCAAACTCCCGAAACCAGAGACCCTAAACCCAAACTCCCCCTAAACCCTAAACCCTAAACCAAAACCCTAAACCCTAAGCCCAAAACTCCCGAAACCCGAAACCCTACACCCTAACTCCCGAAACCCAAACAGCCCTGCCGATGTCAAGCAGGCCAGCAAGCACTTAAAGCCCAAGCCTGGGATCTTGCGAGAGATGCTTTAGGGGTTTAGGGGTTTAGGGTTTTAGGGTTCAGGGTTTAGGGGTTTAGGGTTTTAGGGTTTAGGGGTTTAGGGGTTTAGGGTTTAGGGTTTAGGGGTTTAGGGGTTTAGGGGTTTAGAGGTTTGGGGGTTTAGGGGTTTAGGGGTTTAGGGTCTAGGGTTTAGGGTTTTAGGGGTTTAGGGTGTATAGTGTTTAGGGTTCAGGGTTTAGGGGTTTAGGGGTTAGGGTTTAGGGTTTAAGGTTCAGGGTTCAGGGTTAGGGTTTAGGGTTTATAGGGTTTAGGGTTTTGCTTTAGGGTTCAGGGTTGTGTTCTGAGGGCTTTCATTCATGGCTTCCCAAATCCATTGCCCAGTCTGAATTAGATTCAAGGTTTCGGTGCTATAAGGGCTTTACAGCCTCACTATATGGTTTCATAGGGGTGTTACACCAGCCCTGAACAATAAGTCACAAGGGTACCCCTGTGTCCAGGCATGTCGAAAAGACCAAGATCGGACGGCAATGACCAAGCACGATGACCAGGAACCCTAAACCTAAACCTTAACCCTAAACCCTAAGCCCTAAACCCTAAACCCTAGACCCTGAACCCTTAACCCTAAACCCTTAACCCTAAACCCTAAGCCCTAAACCCTAAACCCTGAACCCTGAGCCCTAAACCCTAAACCCTGAACCCTTAACCCTAAACCCTAAACCCTGAACCCTGAACCCTGAACCCTAAACCCTGAACCCTAAACCCTGCACCCTGAACTCCGAACCCTGAGCCCTAAACCCTAAAGCCAAATCCCCAAATTCTAAAAAAAGGTCCAAGTACCTAATAGTCATATACTCTCCCAAATCCTAACCTACATAACTACTATCCTAAAACCGAGTACCTAGTTCTTGGGTCCTTTGGACCCTCGGGGGTAAGGCACTCCCGGCCCCCTCGTCTGACGCCAAAGCAACAAACCAAGCATCTCACACCACTATCGCTACTCGCTACATTAGGGATGATGGTGTAGGTTAGAAGCTGCCCCCACCCTGTAATAGTGACCATAAGGATTAGACTAATATTCTATTGGGGCCTTTTGTATTCCTATTATACCACTATTACAGGGTGGGGGCAGCTTCTAAGGTGTAGGTTTCAAGGTCTTAACTACCATCAACTAATCCTAAACCCACATGCAGGAGCTAGGCTTTTGGGGTGCTAACTTGTCATGCAGCTGTACAGCTTACGGACTGTCAGGGGTAATATCGACGCCATTTTTTTAACCCCCTAGATTACCCCTCCAACCCCCACAAACACACATATGCAACCTAAATCCTAAACCCTACCTAAACCCCACGTAACCTACCTTTTGAAAGACTTTTATACGGAAATCATATTAGGGAACCCAAAAAAAAAGTAGGTTGCTTAGGGTCCAGGTAAACCTTGCGAAACCGAAAACCAGAACCGGTACTCTGGGTTTCCCGGGCTCTTCAATTCTGCGATAAGGTCGTCTCGCTTGCGCTTCGAAACGACCTTGGCTTCGGGACTCTTTCTGCTTTTGGGCCCTTATGTGTGAGAAGCCAGAATAACTACCAATATTATTCCTTAGGGCTCATTATTAGTATTACTACTACTATTACGATTATTATTACTATTATTGTTATTATTATTACTATTATTTTATGATTATTGTTATTATTAGTATTATTATTACATTCTATAAGTGAGCCCCAAACCCCATTCGACTCATTAAGGCTCCTACATTGTAGAACCCTGCTATAGAACCCTAAATCCCTTCCCAAAGGGTCCGAGGTATAGCCCCTCTCTATTTTAGGATCCTAACCATAAAACTGGTTAACCAAAAAAGGAACTACAATGGAGACTATAGGTAGGTACTGTTACGGGGATACTTTCCCAAATCATCATAGTAATTCCTCATGTTTAGAAACCCTACATTCTAATTCTACCATATAGGTACTTAGGATTCTTTGGGCTTATCAGGAACGCTTAAAGGGGCCCTGTTCTAATTATCAAGGCCTCCACAGTAAGTCTACGTAGCCTCTAAATCCTAAAATCCCGTGCGAATCAACCTGAACCTACCAAACCCTCCATTTCTGTGGATTCTTATCATAAACCCTAATATGGAATTCATCGGGACTCTGTAGGTTCTTATCACAAACCGTAATATGGAATTCATCGGGACCCTCCAAGAAAGTAGCTTCTGGTGGGTTCAGGAAGAGCCGAAGACCTGAAGCCCCAAGCCCGAAACCGTTAAACCCCAAACCTTAAATCGTAGGGTTTCTATATGGGTGGTTGTCAAAATTATGGTTCCTTCTTGGGTACCCTAAATATTAGGTGCCGCACTATATCAGAGACCCAAAAGAGTACCATAATTTTGACAACCACCCATATAGGGTGTCTATAACCGTAAACCGCAAACCTGAAACGGGCCCTTTTTCGGGTTCCTGAAAGGATCCAAAAAGGTTTCTATAGGGCTTCTAGAGTAGAGTCCCTTCTTAGGTCTTAGGCCCTCAGAATAGTACGGCACCCTTATAAAAAAAAAAACCCTAAGTTGGAGAATGACCCATATACCACAGCCTCAGCCCAGCAAGCAGAAGGCCACGCAAAGAATGTTCGAGGTGCGGACCAGCTCACCTTTGATCACCATCACGATGAACTTCACCTGCACGAGTTGTGCGCGGGTCTTTGTTTCGGGGCCCAAGGGAGTTTGACGTCCAGGGAATAAGGCTTCGTGGGGCTCTGAGTTCATAGGGCTCGGGGGCCAGGTGGTTGAGGGGGTTTGGGGTTGAGGGCGGGTTTGTTTGAACACAAACCTAAACCCCGAAATTCCTGAACGTGTTCGGAACCTTGCCACAACCAACAAGAACGACAAATTGTCGCAAACTGGATAAGTGAGCTCGCAACGCCCCATCAGCGGAGCAGTGGGTTTTTGCTAAGCAGATCCCAACGGTTGATGATATAAATCCTGCATGACCCGTGATAAGGAATATACCATAATTCCCATAGTTTAGGGTCCTTAAGGTAATGCAGGATTTATATCATCAACAGTAGGACCCCTACCCTAAACCCTATAGATCCCTTTAAAGGGCCCCTTAAAGGAACCCCCGAGACCCCTTTAAAGGAACCCCTGAAACCCTTTTAAAGGAGCCCTAAGCCCATCAACAGAAGCACTGCCTTTGCATCGATCAAGTTCTTCTCCTTCTTCAACCTTCACGAAGTCAGGGCCGGGGCTTCGTCGATGAGGGCTTTAAGGTTTAGGGTTTATAGGGTTTAGTAATTTAGGGTTTAGGGTTTAGTAATTTAGGGTTTAGGGTTTAGTTTACGTCTTTAAAGTTTAACAGTTTAGGGTTTGAGGTTCAGAATTCAGGATGACGGTTCAGTGTTTAAGGTTTTGAGGTTTAGGACATAGATCAACTGCAGACCCCTTCAAAGCAGAAAAGGGTGCTACAGAACTGCGAATGTCTGCTTAGAGGCCTTAGAAAGATTTTATGGAGTTTCATCTCTGTTTAGGGTTCAGGCCCTAGGGGTAGGTACACAAAATACGCGAGACTCCGTGGCTTATAGAGAGTATCAGTAGCCAGCCTGTCGACGTGATAGTCCTTGCGCTTGACGTAGTACCTGAGTGCGTTTGCTTGACACGTTCAGTTTAGCTGTGCGGCTTGGGGCTCAGGTGTGGCATGCTTCAGAGATGCCGGCCTCATGTTTGCAGCTTATGGCGTGCAGGGCGTTGGCTAACGGCTCCGGCTCAATGTGTACATGTAGGTCGTTGCCATACATGGACATCAGCCATCCGAGCGTTTACCCTCCAACCTTTTTATGTAAACGGAACACTTACAAAAACGAAAATATGACCCTTTTAGGCGGAAACCCTACAGAACCAGTATGACCCTTTATGCAACCTTTCTAGAAACCTTGTAGAAGCTTTCTAGAAGCCGTTCAGAGCCTTTGTATAACCATCTCGCGGACCTTGGGCTATAGGGTGAATGCGGCCAAGCCCTAGCTTTGATCACACGAAAATGTATGGCCTTAACACTGCGGACGGAGTTGTTCGTGGTATTGCTTTCATACCGTAAAGAATAGTACTACTAGTGCTTCTATGACACGATCCTTGCTACTTGGGTTTTGGCTTTGGCTGTTGCCATTGCAGGTATGAGTCGCGTTGCTCTTTTGGCTACCGTCTCGATGGTGATGTGATGCGGGTTGCTGGCCATGTGGCATTACTGTCTTTTCGTGCTTAGGGCTTAGCCCCTGTCAGGGTACCCATGGCAGAGACTGCATTACATCCCTCGGTTCAGTAAAATACCTGAATTGTATTAGGGACCCCTACTATTTAAGATCCTTAATTATAAGGGATATTGCAGTCGATTGTAGGCGAAACACTGTTGATAAACACTGTTCGCATGGTAAGACCCCCCATGTGGATATTGGAGCTTCGGGGTAGGCAGTTCGTGCCAGATCGTGCTCTGTGCAACTGTTGATGATCTAAAGCCTGCATTACTACCAGGACCCTAAACTACGGTTGATGATATAAATCCTGCACTACCCATAATAAGGAATATGCCATTATTTCCATAGTTTAGGGTCCTTAAGGTAATGCAGGATTTATATCATCAACAGTATTGGTACATCCCTAATTATGGGTCATGCAGGATTTTGTATCATCAACCGAAGCAGTAATTGAACCAAGGAGCTCACTTACTACTATACTGAACTTAGAACCCTAGCAACAACTGTAATTTTAGCTGTTTATTTAGGGATTCTGGATTGGCACTTTAAAGCCTCTGAAAAATATTCGTGAATAGGGTCCTATTAACCCCAATAAGGGAAAATATAAAATGTCCCAAGGGCCTACCCAGGATATATCATAACCCCAAAATTACAACCATAATTCTAAGTACCCCTAAGATTCGGGCTTGGCTGGCAACCCCGGGCCCCCCCAAAACTCCTTCAACTTGACTCATACATTTACGGTTTAGGGCTTTGGGTCTGGGGTTTTTGGGATGTCCTGAAAACACCGAGACTGCAAAGACAAGAATGCAACAAACAACAGAACCGACGTAAGATCCGAGCTTAAGCCGCAGCTGGAAGAACTCATGGATCAGCTCCTGTTGCAACCGAGCATGTCTTGACCAAGGCCAGGGATATCTTGCTCTTTTTCAGGCTTCAGGGCTGAAGGTTTGAGGTCTAGCTTATAGGCTTCAGGCTGCGGGTTTAGAAGCTGATTTGGGACTTGTGGCTGAGGCTTGAGGGCTTCTGGTCTAGTGTGGTTCACGGATCGACTTTGTTGCTCATGTTGAGGGGTCTATAGCAGTGAGGTGGCATACACCCCGAGAGCCCAATATTCCAAGGAATGGATCGAAAATGCCCGGGAACATCACCAACCTGAACCTGATCCAGGAGCCCGAAACCAACGCACTGTTCCACATGCTGGAAATCGGGTAGAAGGACATTAAACTTCATGGGTTACCTTAACCCCAACCAACCTACATTTTTAAGCACTCGTGATATGATAAGGAAACCATAGATCCCTAAACATGTAGGATTTTGGGGGTTTAGGTATGGCTTGGGACTGCGGATGTAGGGCTCGATTTTTGCGGGTCAGGAGGTTGAGAGCTCCAGTCTCTGGACTTTCGTCCCAAATCCGAAAATTCCAACTTTAATCGCTTTAACCCCTAAACCCTAACCCACGAGACCCTCAAGCCCAACCCATAAACCTGAACCCACTACACCCTAAACCCCTGAACCCCAATAAACCCTAAAGTCCTAAAGTTCCTAAAGCCTAAACCGCGTTCGGTGCAGAAGCCGGCGCCTGCACGGAAGAGAACTTCTTGATCTTCCCTTCCTGCAAAGGCCGAAGATGGCTTGTAGGGCTAAATCTCAGCTGCTGGAGTCCTAAAAAGTGAAGTGTAAAGTGTATTCACACAGATTAGGAGTTTTCGAACATAGGGGGACCCTAATACTAATATAGTACCCTAAATAGTTGGATCCTTCTTATAAGGACCCTAAGGTAAGGTACCCCTAAGCTTCGGAAGCTCCCACTAAGAAATTAAGGACTACCTAAGGCCAAGGGCTCCTTTAAGGGATCCATTTAGCTTAGGGTTTAGAAACACGATGGCTTGTAGGGCTTAGTCAGTGGGGCTTAGGGTTTAGGGTTTAAGGTTTGGGTTCTTATTGAAGGTTTAGATGCGGTATCTGTGTAGAGCAGCTTCGCATATGCTGAAGGTTCAAGGTTCAAGATGGCTACTCCGGAACCCATTGCAGATGCGCCTGGAACAGATCGGGCTGGCGTTTAGAAGCAGTTGAGTAGTGAGTGCCCGTATGCTGCAAGGAGCTGAAACTTCGGGCATGACATGCCCATGGCCCTCCATGCCACTAACCGAAGGAGGAGACCTTGCACAGTGAGACAAAAAAGATCTGCTTATGTATTGATGGAACCCTAAACCCTAGCTCTGAAGTAACCAGGGAGAAAACAAGTATAGACTTGTTGTTCATAAAAGGTTCCCTTTAAGTACCAGGTCCAAAACAAGTATTAAAGTATGGTACGCCAAAGCCCAGCTAAAGCACTCATTCACGAGATCTCTCCCTTCTCAGGGCCGAACCGAGTCAAAGAACCTGGTAGAACACAGGCTGACAGTTTTGGGCGCTTGCACGCTACTGTCGCATACGGGTGCCACTGATGATGTGGTGGTGTGCGGTCACAGGTGGTGCTGGTGGTGGCAGTGGTGGCGATGGCAATCACGGTTCTGGCATCCAGCTGTCTTCGTATGATGCTGGTAACTTCTTGCATCAGCATCACTCGGAATGTTGAAATCTTTGCATCGCGCAACATTCGGTTCAAAAGCTTTACGGATATGCGGCAGCCAGAACCTGAGATGCGGCTTCTCAGCCGCATCATCCTTATGATCGGTGCTACTACTGCTCCTTTCACTCTGACTGCTGCTACTAGTGTTCCTCTTGCTGCTAGAATACTACCACTGTCATGCTATGTGTACGCCGCGGGGGACTGGTGGGGTTCATCCGTTTCCAGCCCAAAATACTGCCAGTGTGTCGGAATTTCGGAGGACGCCGTCACACGAATCGTCAGAACCTATCGGGACGAGAGGCACCTCACCAGAGCGGTAGCTGGGGGAACCCCATGGGTGTATCCTACTCGCCTACCCTTGGAGCTCAAAGCATGTACCACACGGTTAAGGAAGTATCGCAATTAACCTGAACCCCGTTGCCATCCATCAAGAAACTGCTCTTCAAACTCCAAGATTTGAAGTTCAAGAAATGGTTTTAACAAGCAAATTGCACGCAACCGAGTGGCACGATGTTCGAAGTGGCCAGGGTGCTGCGCAGCTTCAGGACCTGCGAAAGAAGAGTTCGAACAACCCACCTCCTCACACGTGCTGCATCCTATGAACCCATGAAACCTGTGTAATTATCCGGAATTCCAGAATCCAAAACCCTAAACCGTAACTACACAGCCTTAGACCCCAATCTTCTCAAATCACACGCATGAAAGCTTTTCACTGCTTTCCATAACGCCTACAACCTGAGCCTGAGGCCCCACGACTTCCTGAATCCCTAGCCCCTTATCCCTTAGAAGGGGCCCCCTTTAGGGTGTAGGGTTTAGGGTTTAGGGTATAGTGACTATAAGGACTCAACTAGGGCCCTATTATATTCCCACAAAACCACGATTACAGGGTGGGGGCCCCTTGTAACTTATCCCCCTACTCTCAAGAAGCAAAGCTTAGCCCGTAAACCCCGAGACCCTTGTAGTACCCTTGTGGAACTCTACCAAACCCACAATACAAAGCCCTAGAGAATCATACTAGAAAGAAAAGCCCTGAACCCCCAACCTCAAGCACCGTACCCGTCTAGAACCCTTATGGAATGCAAAAGCCACCCCCAAAAACGCGACAGAATCTGTACAGAATCGCAGCAAAACCCCAAAACCCTAAACCCCTAAACCCTAAACCCCAAAACCCAAACCTGAAATTCCGGGCCTTCTCGAGACCTTCCTGCTCCAGAGCCTGCCCGGGCGAAGGGTCTTCTGCGAGTTTTGTTTCAAAGGGGAAAAGGAGGGACCCTTAATGGGTCCCTTTAAAGGGATCTATAGGGATTCTATAAGGGTTTAGGGTTTAGGGTTTCGGGGTTTGGGGGGTTTGGGGGAAAAGGAGGGACCCTTAATGGGGTCCCCTACCCCATAATGGGCTAAATCATGGGTATATGACAGCTATATTAAGGGTATATACCTAGGGGTCCTTATTAAGGGTCCCTCCTTTTACCCTTGGATTGTTGTTACCGGTTTCAGGCTTCGGGATTATAGTAGAAGCCAGGAAGTTGGAGCATTACTATCCTCATGCCATTAAAGCAAAGTATAGGGATTCCTGGCACTAATCACCCTTAATCCATGTTCCAACCTTCTAGGGTTCGGGCGCGGAATATTTTTGTGTCTCCAAAGACTGAACTCCGACACCCCATAAATGCCCTCAAAACCCTAAAACCTAAAACCATAAACCCTGCGAGAATTTGAGTTGGTTGCGCCTTAATCTGGTCCACTGTTCCCGACAGAGAGAAGTGCACCTGGCTGGGTTCCGGGCGTTCGGTGCTTCAGTGTCTGGGAGTTCAAGCTGAAGCGGTTCGTCTTGTGGTTTAAGGCTAATGCTTGGGGCTTTGCCGGTTTGAGACCTAATTTAACCCTAAACCCCTAAACCCCTAAGACATAAACCCCTAAACCCATCAACCCCTAAGACATAAACCCCTAAATCCTAAACCCCTCCACTTCAGACTTTTGTGCTCTTGCCCCATAGTTTCGAGTTTTAGTGTCTCGGCTCAGGTGTGCAGCTGCATTCAGCTTGCACGGCCTAGCGAGTAACCCGGCTTTACTCAAAGCAAGTACCGCAGGGGCCTGGGTTTAGGGTTTAGGGTTTAGGTTCCAAAGTTCTTTGCATCGGGCTTTGGCGCACATGACTATGCCATTATCATCGGGCCTGTGCCGGGATACTGTTTCGTAGCAGTAAGCCCGACCCCTGCATGGGCATGATGTGGCAGGGCTACCTAGTTCATGGTCGGGATGGGATTAAACATTCAAATTCTTATTCCTTATTGGGTTTAAGTACCCATAAACATGTAAAATGTTACCCACCTACGGTAGCCACCCTTTGCTGTTTACCACCAGTTCGCCCAACAATGAAACGAAATGACCATGTACAGCTGGAGGTGGTGTGTAGCCTTAGAAAACAATACAGGGGTACACCTGTACCCTAGACCCCCAATTGTTATGTACCCAACTAGTATAATCGGCTTTGGCGCCCAAGTACCTATATAGGGACTACTTTAAGGCCAATGTATACACTATTTGCCGTGTAAAGGAACGCTATTGCTTAAGGGGTCAGGGTTTAGGGGCGGTTACTTCGAGTTCTCCATGCACAAAACTTAGCCTAACTGTTCATGATATAAATCCTGCATTACCTCAAGGACCCGAAACTATGGGAATTATGGTATATTCCTTATCATGGGTCACGCAGGATTTATATCATCAACCGAAGAGGCTCATCGAAACGGGAGAGCCTAAGCTGTAACTTGAAGCTGCAGAGCCTGTGCAGTCCCTATTCCTGCCAATACTTCTAACATCTAGGGTTTAGGGTTTGGGGCTCTAGGGTTTAAAGGGCTTAGGGCGTTAGGGTCTTAGGGATTAGGGTTTAGGGTTCGGGGCAAGGGTTTAAAGGGCTTAGGGTTTTAGGGTTTAGGGTTTTCGGGTTAAGGCTTATAGGGTCCAGACCCCAAGTAAGATTTGAGATTGCAGGCGTGGGTGATTGTTGCAGCCCAGGTGAACTGACTGCAATCTTGCCGGTTTCCATGAAGCGTGACGGAGCCACCGTGTTCTCCTTGGTGCCATGTGAATCGGGCACTCGGCCTAGTTAAGCGCTTCCTTGTCCCATGTAGGATGCTGAACCATGAAAGCCACAGCAGACCTGATCCAAATCTTAGATATTTTTTATATAAATTACAAGGGACTCTTAATTATTCTGATCTCCAAAGAACTGAGTCGCGGGATCTCAGACCATGAGAAAAATCTCAAGGCCGGATGATACCTGCACTGCTCGATGAGAACCTGTGACCTCACAACAATAGTATGGGTAGAGCTTGTAACGTAATGCGCAACTGGAGCCTTGCCATTTTGGGCGCTTTCCTCGATGTCCCAGGGTTGAAATTTACGGTTACGGTTTGGGTGAGCTTAGCCTTGGCTCAGACGGTCTTTTGCAATCGAGGGGCGGTGTGGAACTCCTTCATGTCATCGATCTTACCACGAGCATTGTCGCCCTCAGCCTGATTACGGGCTTAGGACTCAGGCTTTCCAACAAACTCCACTAACCGAATCTTCAGAAACAATCGTTGCAGCTGAAACAGTCGGTCCCTTCTACGTCTCTGGGTCAATGGCTCCATAACCCTAAACCCCTAAACCCATAACCCCTAAAGACTGCCCTTAACCCTAAACCCCTAAACCTCTAAACCTCTAAACCCCTAAACCTCTAAACCCCTACAGCCCTAAACCTCCAAATCTCTAAACCCCTAAACCCCTACACCTAAACCCTATAAAACCCTCCTCTACAAAGTTCTGCTCGAGGCTCCTCTTTTCATGGACCCCAGCCTGAAGGAGCCACGAACCCTACAGTCGAAGCCCAATAGTTGGAAACCCCAGAGCCTCAATCCTTAAGAGTCTAGGCCTGAGAGTAACCTAGGAATAAAAAGGGTGCCCTTTTGGGGTTAAAGAGGGTTATAAGAAAACCTCAACCCTAAAAAAGTGAATAAGGGCCTACTCTGGGTCCTAAGAGTAATGTACAGGGAGTCCCAGCACTGTTTGGCCTTAATCCGGTTTCCAACTTTATGGGGTTTACTGTGAGCCCAACTGGCAACGCCGTAAACCCCAGCGACTCCAAGACCCCTTTAAAGGGATCTATGCGGGTTCCCTGATATAAGGGTTCCTATAAGGGATCTATAGTTTTTAGGGTTTAGGGGACTTCAATATCCCTTACTAATTGAGGAACTTACCTTAAAGTATAGTGGGATCCCTAATACGGTTGATGATATAAATCCTGCATTACCTTAAGGACTCTAAACTATGGGAATTATGGTATATTCCTTCTTATGGGTAATGCAGGATTTATATCATCAACCGTATGATTTACTCGAGCCCTGAAAGCCGCCCCCAAAGCATCTTCGAAACTTCAGGGCCCGAAACGAAACCGAAGCCCTAGTTGGAGGATCAGGACTTAGTAAGGCTCCTTAAAAGGGTTCCTTAAAGGGGTCTATAATGGATCTATAGGGTTTCTATAAAGATATCTATAAGGAGGATCATGGGACATAGTAAGTAAGGTTGTAAGTACACTAATTAGGGTTATAAAGTAGTCATAGGTGCAATTACCTTAAGAATAAGCCTAGTTACTAAGTCCCATGATCCTTCAAGTATACCCTGATCTCTCAACTCCAGACCTCTAACCACTAAGCCCAACCTAAACCCTGAGCGCTGGATCGCCTTAAACCCCAAACCCAAAACCCTACAAACCCCAAGGCACCCTCAAACCGAAGCCACCAGAAAACACACTTGCCTCGGCCATCTTACCGAGGAATTCCTTGTACGCCTCGTCAGGGTTTAGTTTTTTTGCTTCTGGCTTCAAAGGCGGAGTTTAGGGACTTATCGGGTTCAGGGCCTTACTGTATTATAGGATTAGCGTTTAGGGTTTAGGATTTACCGCGTTAGGGTTTGGCCTCACTGTGCTGAAGGTCGGAGTTAGGGGTTGAGGGGGTTTCAGAGTTCTGGATGTACTGCAGGGGCCTTAGTAATTTGGCTAGCTTTACACAATACGTACAACAAGGACCCCTTAGGAATCTTGTATATTGGGAGGCCAAAAGGGTGGTTTAAGGTTCTTGGGGTAGGGATTCCTTAATATGAACCCCATTATGGGAACCCTAATCCGGACTGAACCTTTTGGCCTCCTATGATTGTATATTAAGAGCTATTTCGGCTTTCCGTCTCAGGCTCGCCGGCTTCCGATGTACCTATAGTCTCCATTGCAGTTCCTTTTTTGGTTAACCCGTTTTATGGTTAGGATCCTATAATAGAGCTTTTGGTTAACCCCAAAAAGGAACTACAATGGAGACTATAGGTAGTGCATCATTGAATCATGGGGCTTGGTACCTTAAATTACAATAGGATCCGTAATATGATTTTAAAGTATATTCCTTGATTAAGGGGTTTTGGAGGCTCTGGGTAGGGTCTTTGGTGGTTGCGGCTTTGGGGCTCCGCATGCACGGGGCTGCTCTAGGCCTCTGTCCACCGGTTTAGGGCTTAAAGGAATTAGGGTTTAGACTAAAGGTCTATTAGGGTTTAGGGATTATGGATTAGGGTTTGGTCTATGAGGGTTTGGGGTTTAGGCTCCCACCTTCAAGCCTCCAATCCTACCATTGGGTTTGAGTTTGAAGCTTGCGGTGAACACTGCACCTTCATAAGCTCTCACATCCGAAAGCACTGACTCCAAAGCCCCAAAGCACCGAAGCCTGTGTCCACTGCTTGACGGGAAGCTCAGTGATGTCCTGCGATGCGGGGACATCGTCTTGTAATCCCAAAGACTCCAAATGACCCAAACTAGGCACTGTTCATAGACATGAGCTCCCCAAAGTAGGTACAAGTACGATTTGTATGGTTCTGATTCAGGGGTCCCTCCAATGCAGATTCGGTTACGATCTGCAGACAGTACAAGGCTTCTGAATGTAAGTTGGGTTTATGGGGCTTAGGGTTCACAGTTAGGCATGTCGGGTGTGCGTTGGGGGGTCTCGTTTTATACGCAGTGTAGCGTTCAGAGTTCTGGATTTTCCTACATATGAGGGTCCAGGATCCTACTATTTAGGGTACTACACTAGGCTCCCCCATTTTCGGAAACTCAATTGACGTCTTAAGCCAAAACCCATGATGAAAAATGAATTTGTCCGATGGCCTTGCACCGCTGCACTTCCCAGAGATCCCAATACCACTGAACTAAGGAAAATACCTTAAACAATTGGGGGCTTAACGTTATGATGTATGGTTTATTCCTCAACTAGACGCAAGAGTAGCCTAGGAACAAAAAAGGTGCCCTTTTTGGTTTGAAGGGGCTTTATAAGGGAACCTGAACCCTTATAAAATGGAATAAGGGCCTACTCTAGGTCCGAGTCAATGAAGGAATCTTGGGATCTCAAGGTTCCTACTCATCCTGTATGACTACATCCTACTAAGCTACCAAGGTTCCTCGGGTTTGAGGTCTGCAAGTACCCAGAGACTCCAATATCCCTTAATTAAGGAATATTCCTTAAATTATAGTAGGATCCCTAATATGATTTAAGGAATATTCCTTAATTAAGGGATATTGGAGTCTCTGGGAACATGCTGGCTTTGTGCCCCCAGCCGCGAGGTTCTTGTTCTTGGGGATGGGGGGCGGCGAAGCTGTTTCCGTTGCTCTATCCCCAAGCCCCGTAGGCCCTGAACCCTAGACCCTTATGAACCCCAAACCCTGACCCCTAAATCCTGAAGCCTAAACCGGAGGCCCAACAGCCACCGAATCGAAATAAAATCGTTTCTGTTTAAGTAATCCCTTGGACGTTTGCTACAAAATACAAATTCCTGAAATCAGCACAGTAAGGTCCACAGAATGAATCTAACCCTAAACCCCGAGAAACCCTCCAAACTCTGCCAAGGAGCGATCTGATTGTTTGCCACTTTCTTGGCAATCCCGACAACCTCCACAAGTCTCCACTAGGTCTACTTGGACGTCTCTAGAGTAGTTATAAGTGGGGTTAGAAGTGGGGTTCCTTTACGGGTCCTATAGGCTAAAGGGTTTAGGGTTTAGGGTAGTTATATGTAAGATAAGTAGAGTTATAACCCACATTGGGGGTCTCATGACTCTACTTATAACTACTCATGATTCTCCAAGGTTGAGGGTTAGGGCTTGTCGGGTGTGCGGGCAGGGTTTATAGGGTTTACAGTAGCGGCCTTTGGAGTTTAGGGTTTAGGGGAAGTGCATATGGGGTTTAAGATAGATACATATATGGTTTAGGGTGCAGGGCGACCGAACCCCAAACCCCAAAGTACTGCGAACTGCCATCCCAACAACCAAGGCACTTTAGCATCCGTGGGCACGTTAAGGGTGCCATACTGTTTTGGGGACCCAGCACTGCCTAGTGCTGTAAGATACCCTAACCTAGAATACTACCCATGCAGAACAGACTTTTACACCAAGGTGAACTAACCGAGACCTCCCCCATCTTGCATCCTTGACACCTGCCAAACCCTGTAGTTAACACAAAGGTCATCCCCAAAGCATACTAAGGGTCCATGGACTCATGTAGTATATACTTTACCCTGAAAGTAGTCCCTGTATAATTACTCACTTTGGGGGCCAAAGTATATACTATTCGGGTATGTGGACTCTTGTGGCAAACCTCCGGGTAATCTCTCCTAAGCCCAAAATCCTAAACCCTAAACCAAAATCCCAACAACCCAGAAGCGGCAAACACAACGCGAACCTCGAAGCCTTCCCCATCCCTTCACTATAAGGCTTTAGGCTTCAGGGTTTAGGTGTACATCGAATTGTGATAGGAGTCCTGTTCCCGTCACTAACCCTAAGGTTAGGATTTTGGAGAGTATATGACTATTGGGTACTTGGACCCTTGAAATAAGGAATGTACATCGAATTCTGATAGGAGTCCTACTCCGATTTACGGGAAGATATGCCAGCCTCGAAGCCCCCCTTCTCTGTGTCCGGGTTGGGCACGATGCTTCCCTGAAGCAGCGGCAACAAAACCGGATTGCCGATTCCATAAAGGTGGTGTATATGGATCCTCTTCGCGGGTGCATGTTTACGGGATGGGGTGGTGCAGGTGGGATCCTACTTAAAGGATCATGGGACTGGGTTGTTATCAAGGTAACTCTGCTTTGAAATAACCAAAATGGGTACTTATAACCCTACTTACTAAGTCCCATGATCTTCCAAGTACGCCCCCCAAACCCAGAGCAAAGATCCTGACAGCCTAAGCCCGCTGCGCCGCCAAATTAAGAAAACCTAAGCTCCAACGTGAAAAGGAGGGACCCTTAATAAGGACCCCTAGGTATATACCCTTAATATAGCTATTATATACCCATTATATAGCCCATTATAGGGTAGGGGTCCCCATTAAGGGTCCCTCCTTTTCTCCTTTGATACAAGCTCGATCTGTCACTCCATGTCACTTCCCTTGGTCTCCAGGTATGCAAGTAATACCTAGTTTAGGGTCTAAAGTCTATGTCTATAAGCCAAAGGGTCCAAGTACCATTATGGTAAGGATTTCAGCCCCCAAAAGTATATGCTACGCCTTTCCATTACTTGGACCCTTTGGGCAAGTAGTACCTACTTTGAGCCATTTGTGAGTTTCCAAAAATAGGGGACGCGAAGATAGCACCCTAAATAGTAGGATCCTTATTATAATCCTTGACCTTTTGCGCCGAACCAGAACCACAGGGTTTAGATCAACAAGGCTTATATGAAAGGAACCCAAAATGTTATTTTTGTTAGTGCTTGGCTTTATTTGTGTTTAAAAGCTTTTTTCTGTATCTAAACGTGTTTTTTTGTATTTAAAAGTTTTGTTTTATTTTTTTTGTTTTTTAAAGCTTTTAAAAGTCTTTTATCTTCTTTTTGGTGTAAAAAATACATCTTTGTGAATTATAAGTTGTTGTTTGTGATTGAGTCAAATGGCTTCATGTTGTTCTACCTGGTTTCCTGCAGCTGTACGTCTACAAATTTGTTTTTTATTTGTTTTTGAAGTGATTATTTCAGCAATATAAATGTTTTTGGTTGTGATTGAGTCAAATGATAAATGGCATCCTGCTGTTCAACCTGGCTTCCTGCTGTTCTACGTCTACAAATTTGTTTGTATTTGTTTTTAAAGTAGTTTATCAATTTAAGTTGGGGGTTGTGATCGAGTCTAAGGGTTTAGGGTTTCCTTGAAATGCCGACCTTCCCCACATGGATTCGAGCGGTGCAGTGGTGTGTCGTACAGTAGTAGTACAAGTAATAGCACAGTAGTAATGCAGTAGTACAATAGTAGTACCATATTTAGTAGTACAGTAGCAGTGCAATAGTAATACAGAAGTACAGTAGTAAGAGGGTAGTAGTAAAGTGGTAGTACAGTAGGGGTACATCACAAGGGTGTGGGAGTACAAGGAGCTGTTTAGCGGGGTGTGGGCACGACCAAAGTCCAAACCACGATCACTCCAAGATACCAACACTAAAACCTTTTATGTTGAGAACTTTTTCGTCCGGCCTACACTCCTGTACAGCAGTGCATTAGTATTGTAATAGTACAGTAGTAGGACAGTCGTAGAAGAGAAATACGAAAAATCAGTCGGCCCAACAAAGAACGCACTAATCATTAATTAGGCCACCATTCTTTTGATACAGCCCGAATAAGCACAGGAAACACGCATCAACTAGGCACACCGGACCAGAAGGACCCCCACATTAACCTGTATTAGTGGGGTGATGCTATTAGTCAATTTCAGTATTCGCATGCGTTTGGCATGTTGCTACTTGTTTGTGCTTGCTTGGTGACTGTTTTGTGCAAGTCTGTTGTTGTGTCTTGGCTCAAAACTTCTTCACAAAAAAACGAATCACGATATCGCCTCCTGCTTGGAAACAAAACAAGATATAGAAAACCTGGCTCAGTCTGGTCAAGTTTGTTTCGGCAATGTTTTTTCAAAAAAGGAAAGCCCAAATTTAGGAAAAGTGAAAAGCAATCCACACTGGGGTGATTGAGCCGGGGACCGGCCATCCCCCCCCAGCCCAGCCCAATTCCAAGATGCCGCATCGTCAGCCCCAGCCAGCCCAGCCCCACCCCAGCCGACCCCCCCGCACCCGACCCACCCCCTACTTTCGGGGGACACCCATTGCGATTTGATGATTTTGGTATGGGGACAGGCACCGGACACCCCTTGCGAGCTGCGAGTTTTTGGACAGCCGTAGGGGGAGCCCTTGCGGTTCATGATTTGGGAACCTATGTTTTAATACAACCTGCAGGGAGACACTCTTTGCGATCCGTGATTTTGGGATCCGCGTTTCTTCAAAACCTAATCGGACACCCCTTGCGGGCCCCAGCCCCCAACCCCAGCCCACCACCGCATCTGTTGGCAAAATCTGGTGGAAGTGAGCCGCCACCGAGCAGAAAGCCTGTAAATACCGCGCTAAAACAACGGCCAGGGATCCCACACATCTGCGGGCAAAATCTGGCGGAAGTGATCCGCCACCGAGCAAAAAGCCTGTAAATACCGCATTAAACAAAGGGCCAGGGATTTCACACATCTGTTGGCAAAATCTGGCGGAAGTGAGTGCTGCTCACTTCCGCCAGATTTTGCCAACAAATGTGTGAAATCCCTGGCCCTTTGTTTAATGCGGTATTTACAGGCTTTTTGCTCGGTGGCGGATCACTTCCGCCAGATTTTGCCCGCAGATGTGTGGGATCCCTGGCCGTTGTTTTAACGCGGTATTTACAGGCTTTCTGCTCGGTCGCGGCTCGCAGGGAAGGCTGGGCGTGGGCTGGGGGACTGGCGGTTGGGGCAGGCCCTCCTCTCCTTCACTACACCCTCCCCCAACCCCTTTTCTCCCTGCCTTCACCCAGCCCGAACCGCCCCAGCAGCCCCAGCAGCCCCAGCAGCATTTGATCATGAAGCCTTTTCCGGAAGATCGGCCCGGCAAAATCTTAGAAGACATTTGTGGCACTTGTGACACGCCCCGGTAAAATCTTATTAAATCTTATTGAATCTTATTGAATCTTATTGAATCTTATTGGTTCATCATTTTTAAAAGGGACACGACTCCAGACCGCCCCAAAAAATCTTATTGAATCTTATTGAATCTTAGAAGACATTTGTACAATTGTGGCACGCCCCGGAAAAATCTTATTGAATCTTATTAAATCTTATTGAATCTTATTAAATCTTATTGAATCTTATTAAATCTTATTGAATCTTATTAAATCTTATTGAATCTTATTGAATCTTATTGCTAAGCCCTGTTGATCCAAACTTTGTGGTGTTGGCTTGTTGCGAATTTATAACTTTTTCCTTGGAAAATCGCAAATATTCGCCACCGTTTCGCGGGGGGCTCCCGCCCCCCTCCCCCCCTTGAACCCCCCGTGGCATCTTTTCTTGGATAGATAGATCGAGATTCCCTTTGCAGGGAGATTAAATAAAATCTTATCAGTGTTAGAAAGGAAAACAACCCAAATAAAATCTTACTGCATCTAACTATAAATCTCATTAAATCTTAATTCGTCTTCCAAAATCATGAAGTCCCGAGCCCGGTCCCCAGCCCTCGCCCTTGCGCCTTATCAGCCCACCTCCCAGGCCAGCCTCGCCCCCGCGCCAAACTCAAAGCCATGACCCTACAAGCACATATAGATACCAGATATGACAGCAAACAGCAAAACCTTTAAAGAGCCAAGACAAAGCACCCACACAAAGCAAAGTTTACAGGGGCGCTCCCTGCTTGAGTCGATGAAACACACTACTGTGCTTGTACTGTGCTACTACTGTACTACCATTGCACCAATGTACTACTATGCTACTGTACTACTGTACTCTGTACTACACGCCACTGTACCGTACCAGGCCTCAAACTTGGTCGATCGTGGGGGGTGGTTAGGTTGGAGGCAAAAGTCTTCAACATGAAAGGTTTGTAGTGTTGGCAGTTATCTTGGAGTGATCGGGGCTTGGTTTCAAGTTTTTGGTGATCCCCAAGCCCCCCGATTGCGGCGTTCGCGCAAATTTCAACTCGACCATGCGACCCCCCATTTCCCTTCTAACTTATCCAAAGCCATTCAGACCCTCAGCCAGCCGAACCCCGGTCCAGGGGGTCACGGACACCAGACTATTCACACCGAAAACCTTTGGTCGAGGGGGGGTGGCTATTAAACGGCCGCCACATTACAGGTAGCAGAGATACAAGAAGAAGCTCGATGATGCACAGGTGAGTACATGTAATAGTCCAGTAGTAATGCATGTAATAGTACAGTAGTAATGCAGTAGTAGTACAGTAGTAACACGGTACGAGGTTTTTAAGTGTACTTGGAGCTGTTTAACGGTTTGGGGGGATCACCAAAGGCTGGAAACCAGAAGCCCCGATCACTCCAAGATACTACCAACACTGAAAACCTTTCATTTTGAAGACTTGTGCCTCCAACCTACACTCCCCTCCACAATCGACTATGTCTGAGGCCTGGTACGGTACAGTAGTAGTACAACAGGGTAGAGTAGTACTATAGTAGTACTGTAGTACGACAGTCGTACAGTAGTAGATACAGTGCAGTACGAGGGTTTAGGGGTACTTGGAGCTGTCTAGCGAGGTTTGGGGACGACCAAAAGTCGAAGCCAAGACACGGTCACTCAACGTGCAAACTTTTCACTCTGAAGACTTTTGCCTCCAACCTACACTCCCCTCCACAATCGACCACGTCTGAGGCCTGGTGCGGTGCAGTGGTGTGTCGTGCAGTAGTAGTACAAGTACTAGCACGGTAGTAGTACAGTAGTACAAAAGTAGTACCGTCGTAGTACAGTAGCGGTGCGATAGTAGTACAGAAGTATACTTGTAAGAGGGTAGTAGTAAAGTGGTAGTACAGTAGTATTAAAGTAGTTGTACAGTAGTGGTACAGTACGAGGGTGTGGGAGTACCTGGAGCTGTTGAGCGGGGGTTTGGGCACGACCAAAAGCCCGAAGCCAAGCCACGATCATTCCAAGATAACTACCAAAACTGAAGCCCATTCATGTTGAAGACTTTGGGAATTTGCCTTTCAGCCATTAGCCTTCAACCATATACCATGGCACTCTGCCTTCTAACCCTACACCCTAAAACCCTGAAGCTCTAACCCTAACCCTCTCATTACCCTCAAACCCTAATACTATGGCACTCTGCCTTCTAACCCCTAAACCCCAAAAGACCCTGAAACTTTAAACCCTGTGCCAGATCTTCTTCATCCGCGTCTTCTTGGCAAAAAATTCAACAAAGTTAAAGAATGTTATTTTTGTCTTTAAAAGTTTTTAAAAGTCCTTTAAAGTTTTTAAAAGTTTTTAAAGCTTTTAAAAGTTTTTTAAAGCTTTTAAAAGTCTTTTAAAGTTTTGAAAAGTCTTTTAAAGCTTTTAAAAGTCTTTTAAAGTTTTTAAAAGTCTTTTAAAGCTTTTAAAAGTCTTTTAAAGTTTTTAAAAGTCTTTTAAAGTATTGAAAAGTTTTGTAAAGTTCTTAAAAGTCTTTTAAAGTCTTTAAAAGTCTTTTAAAGTGTTTAAAGGTCTTTAAAAGTTGTTTTTGGTATTTTAAAGTTTTTAAAAGTCTTTAAAAGCCAACTCTGTCGAAAAAGCCCTGTGGATCTAAACCTTGTGGTTCTGGTTCGGTGCAAAAGGGCAATGATATAAGGAACCCCAAGATAAGATACCCCCTAATTTTCGGAAACCCTAAACCCTAAACCCTTTATTTATAGAACCCTTCTAGATCCCTTTGAGGAACCCTTCTAGATCCCTTTTAAGGTACCCCCCAAATTTTCGGAAACGCCCATTTGGAGCCCCATGGCTGCCAGGTCTTCGGTTGTGGGTCTTACGGTCAGGATGTCGGGTCGGGGATTGGGGGTTGGGGTTTAGGGTTCAGGGTTTCGGGGTTGGGGTTTAGGGTTTGGGGTTTAGGGATTGGGGTTTAGGGTTTCGGGCTTTCGGGTTTAGGATTTAGGGTTTCGGGTTTAGGATTTAGGGTTTAGGGGTGACCATAGCCTAGGGATCCAAAAACCTGCCATTCTAGGGTTCGACCCTCTAATGAAGGGGTCATAACCTACTACTTTGCAGGGTTTGGGGTCGCAGGAGGGTCATCGCTTGGTAGCTCGGGTTTGCTTCCGGCGTGGAGCCTTAAAGGGAACTCCAGAAAGTTGGAATATGCCTATGATTTACCATAAAGGGCTTAGGATAATCATATTCCAACTTTCTGGCTTTTACCGTTATAAGGGTTTGGGCATGGGCTTACAATCGAGAGATGCAGCCCTAAGGATCCATGTAGCTACATGGCATATACTTCCGTTGATGATATAAATCCTAGATTTCCTTTAAAGGGATCTATAGGGGTTCCTTTAAGGGGCCCTTTAAAGAGGGTTCCTTTAAAGGGGTCCTACAGTTGATGATATAAATCCTGCATTACCTTAATGACCCTAGACTATGGGAATTATGGCATATTCCCTATTATGGGTCATGCAGGATGTATATCTTCAACCGTTTGACCCCACAGCCGCAGTACAAAAATGGGGACTGCTTTAAAGTTCCTACCTCCCGAAGCCCGAACTGAAGCTGCAGATCCTAAACCCTAAACCCTAAACCCTTAACCCTAAACCCTAAACCCTAAACCCTAAACCCTAAACCCTAAACCCTAAATATAAACCTGAAGCCGGGATCCTAAAATCTCAGACAGAGCCCCTCTAGGATTCCAATCCAAGTGGGAGTTTCCGAAAATGAGGGGTACCTTATTGCGGTGTCCTGATAAAAAGGATCCTACTATGTAGGGTACTATATTAGGGTCCCCTATTTTCGGAAACTCCCAAGTATGCTTTTGAACGGCGAAACAATCCCAAGCTGCTGCGGGGTCTTATGGTTAAAGTTTCCCGTAGAAGGTCTCCCAACCCCCCAGTCCCCACCGCAACGACGCACCAGGTCTACATAAAAGCTACTGAAAACCAGCACTTGATCTGATATCATTACATGCAACATGAGTTTAGGGATACTGCTGATGGACAAAATCCTGCATTACCCATTATAAGGAATAGACCATAGTTCCCCTAGTTTAGAGTCCTTAGGGTCTTAGGGTCATGCAGGATTTTGTCCATCAGCAGTAGCACTCAACTCTACTCCCTCAAAGCTGATATCGCACGTGGCAGGCCTTGAAGCCTCTGTACCATGGATTCACTGTCGTGCCTGACAGGAGTTCTTCGATACCCGATGCTGAAGTTAAACCCAAAACCCCTAAACCCTAAACCCTAAACCCTAAACCCCTAAACCCTAAACCCCTAAACCCTAAAGCCTGTCGTGGCCGTTGAGCATGGGATTCAGGGCCGCTTGCAGCATTGCTGAGTCTAGAATGCAGTTCTGGCCTCGTTGGCTTACTTGGGGGGCTCATGGGGCTTCGCAAATAGGGTTCCTTGAAGGGTGCTACAAGGAATTGATAGGGTTTCTATAAGAGTTCTATAAGAAGGATCATGGGACTTCGTAAGTAAGGTGATAAGTATCTTAGTTAATTGGGTGTGATATGCAATCATGAGCATTGCCACCCCCAAAAACAACCCTACTTACCAAGCCCCATGACATACATATCTGGGTGAAAGCACCCTTAGGGCTAGACGCGATACCAAAAAAAGGCAAAGAGACTCCCAACAAAGTCTTCGCGAGCTTCAGACCGCAACCGAACCTAGAGGCACACTTTGCAACAAAGGCCCGTGCTGACTTTCTGCTTCTTGATGAGCTTGCGCAGCCTCGAAATCAGCTTTACTGGTATGCCTGACCCTCATCCGCTTCAGCGATTTTGGGATATGTGGCAGAGTCATACATGTTGCGCAGTCGTAACCGTTGGGCTGCAGTTGCTGGTTTCGGCGTTCATGGGTTATCAGTCTGGTTCGTCTGGAAGTAGCAGAGCCATGCACTCATTCATTGTATGCCAATGTACAACTTGCGCCCTTAACCCCGCAAGATATTTCCGAAACACAACCTGGAACCATCATTCCTTAAAATACAAGTATCTTATCAAACTCAAACACTCCAAAACCTAAAGTCAAAAGCCCAAGACATGATGGTCAGCTGCCAGTATCGGGGTCAAAGAGGCCCCGATCATTTGTCCAAACTTGGCAAACACGCTCATAAAGGCCCCGAAGCAACATCCGAAAATGCAAACTCCAAACTCTACCCCTAAGGCTGGAAACAGCTCAAAAGCCTTATATAGCATGGTCTTTGGTCCCAATCTCCTTTATATGTGAGTCTTTAAAGCCTTAGGGTACACCTGTAGACCCCAAATGCATTCCAAGGTCTTTGGCGAGTACGTGCTGTCAGTTGGAAGGTTACGGGCGTTGCTGCTATGACTATGACACCAAAGCCCTGAACAAAGAACACCATCTCTTCAGTACTGAAAGGATCATGGGACTTAGTAACTAGGGTTCTTATTAGGGTAATGATACTTATAACCGAGCATAACTCCAATTAGAGTACTTAGAATCTTACTTACTAAGTCCCATGATCCTCCAAGTAGGTCCCGGACATCGCGATGAGGTCCCTTGGTACAGGCGGACACTCTTCCGAAGCCTCTACAGTAGAAGCCCAACATTTGGAACCCAAAATAGCCTCAACCCCAAAGACTGATTTGGGTTTAGGGTTTAGGGTTTAGGGTTGATGCATGGGGAATCCCAGCCCTAATTGTCCCTAAATCCGGTTTCCAACTTTTTGGGGTTTGCACGGTTTGGGGTTTAGGGTTCCCTAAGCCCTAAACAGTACTGCAACCCAAAGGCTCCATGTACCTTTATAGTAGATACTTAAGCCTTAAAGGGCTCCCTGTATAGGTACTTTAAGGCCTAAGTATATGCTGTATGGGTACATGGAGCCCTCGGGTAACCTGAAGACGCTAAACATCCCAATTTAGCGCTGCTTCGCTCCGTCCCGACGTGAAACTCGACTGAGGGGGTGTTAAGCACCATAAGAATGCTTTTTTGTTTTTTTTTTGGGGGGGGTTATGTTGCACTGTATTTCTAATAGGGAACCCTCAAAATAGCTTTGGTAGCCAAGGGGTTGCGTCTCATCTCCTAGGGTCCATGTACCCACATACCTATAGTCTCCATTGTAGTTTAACCAGTTTTATATTAAGGATCCTAAAAGGTAACTCCGAAAAGGAACTACAATGGAGACTGTACGTAAGAATGCTTGTTTTGTTTGGGAGGGGGGGTTATGTTGTACTATATTTCTAATAGGGAACCCCCAAAATAGAGTATAGGTCACTATCTACTTTTCCGAGCATTACTCTTCAATCACAGTGTCAAGTCCTGAGTCACAGATTCGATCTTGATCCAGAGTTCAAGGTCAAACATTACCTGGACCCCCAAAGTATGTAGAATAATAGCCCTTTATAGGTTTTGGGCCATTATTTTACCTACTTTTGAGGGTCTAGGTAGAAGCCAAACATTATAAGCCCTAAACCCTAAACCCTAAATCCAAAACCCTGAGTCCTAAACCCTAAACCCTAACCAAACCTGCGAACCCTGAGTCCTACAAGCGCGAATTCGGAGCGGACCGCTAACTCCTTTCTGGGAGACCGGGCCCATAACTAACCTTATGTGGGAGTTTCAGAAAACTTAGGGTACCTTCTTTTGGGGGTCCTTAATAAGGATCCTGCTAGTTAGGGTACTATACTAGGGTCCCCTATTTTCGGAAACTCCCATATGCTGTCATGCAGTACAGAATATTGAGGCCTACTCATAGTATAAATTTTACGCGGACTGTATAAGGAGACCGGGCCTGTATGCTGTCATGCATGCATCAACCTTTTATGTAAGGGCCTTACAGTTAGATTTTTGGGGCTAGTATGGTGCAATTTCTAGACAGACTAGGTAGCATTACACATTTTACCGAACCCCGTATCAAGTTTAAGTGTCCACGTTACCAAACAATCATCCTTGACAGCTTTGTAGGTTGATTATGTACTTGGATGCCTTACGGTAACCTGCTATGCAAATACATGTTTGTAGGGTCTGACTAGAGACCCAGTATGGGCAGCATTGAAACATAGGTGCCCCACAAAAAGGCAGGTGATGCTAGGTTATCTCACTAGAAGGAACAATCCAAGACAACAACAACTTAGCACCCTGATCATGTGTGTGTGTGTATACAGATACATACATATGTATATACGTATATATGTATTATATATATATATATATATGTGTATCTCTCTCTCTCTCTCTCTCTCTGTCTGGGAGATCAAAAAGCACCGAAGCCCTCGACCGGGAATCCGGCCGTGGGTTGAAGTTCGGCACGGAGGTGGACCATCCCGTCCCGATGCCTTCAGCGCCATTGACCAAAGCCTTGAAAAGATTGCGTCGCGTGGGAAAAGAACGATGGGCTTGTATTGGTTGGCGCTGAGGGCCCAAGTAGTCTCCGTTCTAGGACTTTGGGTCCTTCTTGGTCAGTTCATGCGGATGCTCGTGGGGCGTTGGGAGGAGTTGCAGTGACTCAAGAAGAACACGCTTTTGATATGACTTGATTGTTGTTCTGATGGTCTTGACGGTCTGCAGGACGTTTTTTAACATACCTTACATGCTCTTGTAGCAAAAGCGTCATGGCATAAACATGTAGACATACTTCGTGTAGCATGTCAATGGACCACGGCGAAATGGCTTCGGATTTCACTTAAAGCTCCAATATTGCTATCGTGAGAAAGGTGCATACAGACTACCATGACCCAAGCATACAAAGCTGAAAGTCTTTTACTCGACTGCCTTGCTAACATTCGCTGAACTCTTGCTGCTCCGCATTCGGCCGAGCATGCGACCATCGGAATGACGGGCATGTACCACTTCCTCAGCCCACGAGACATTAACCCCAAAACCGTGCTTCAAGCATATGGTCATGCATTTGTCAGGCTTTGACGAGAGGTTCCGTGCAACTGGAAGACCATACCCTAAGCTGGGCCCAAACTACATAGTCATATAGTGTATAGGTTACATGGACCCTTAGAAAACTGTTGATGATACAAAACCTGCATTACCTTAAGCACCCGAAACTATGGGAATTATGGTATATTCCTTATTATGGGTCATGCAGGGACCGTATTATATGTTTTGAGTTAATATGCACTCAAGGTCTACTGCAGCAACTTGAAGGTTGCTGCAGCTTTCAGGTTTGGGACGGTGATAGGCTGGGTCGTAGTTTCGGGGCCCTTAAAGTATTGATGAATATGTACCTCTAGAGGAACCATAAGGGAAATTAAGGCATTTGCGAAAGTGCCACCTAGTAGGGCCTTTACAGTAGAAGCCAGAAAGTTGGAATATGATTATCGTAACCCCTTTAAAGTAAACTATAGGGGATCCTACCATGAAACCATATTCCAACTTTCTGGAGCTCCCTGTTGTGGGCAGGGCTGATGTGGGATAAGGGCCGGTGTCCAACTTCGATGCAGCTTCATTACACAAGGATCTGGCCTAAGCCGAGTTCCCTAAAGCGGACCCTGATTTAAACCCCCAAAGCCCTAAAGCGCAACCCCAGCACGCCCTAGACTAGACTAGACTTGGAATCTGCATTCCGCATCGATCGGACTTCGAACTACAGGAAATGGCACCCTCCTAACCAAAGCCTAAACTTTAAACAGTAATAACTAACCCTAACTATACCTCTTAGAACCATAATAAACATAATATGTGTTATTACTCTCTTGGGTTTTATGTGAACACATATATATATATATATATATATAACTAATTAAACCCTACGCCCTAAACCCTAAACTCCCTAAACCCTCAAACCCTGAGCCCTAAACCCTTCTTCTTCGAGTGGGCGGCGGCTCGATCGACTGGCCCTCCTCCGTCTGAAACTCGAGCAGTGGATCCTTTGTCGGCTCTAGGGTTTAGGGGTTTAAGGGTTTAGGGGTTTAGGGGTTTAGGGGTTTAGGGTTTAGGGTTTAGGGTTTAGGGTGTGGGGTTTAGGGGTTTACAGTAGACCCCAAAAGGTTGGAAACCAGGTTAAGACCAAATAGTGCTGGGACTACCTGTACATTACTCCTAAGGATTGAGGCTATGGGGTTTCTAACTTTTGGGCTTCTACTGTAGGGTGTCTAGGAGTTTTCGGATTTGGGCTTCGGGGTGTAGAGGGGTCTGGGGCCGTTCAGGGTTGAGGGGTTTAGGGTGTGGGCTGTACAGGGGTTTCGGGTTTAGGGCATCCTCTGTTGGCTCCAAGGGGTTCACAGGTTTCAAGACTTGCATGGAAGTCGATTTCGGTCTATAGGAAGTTGACCAAGACATCCAGAGCTCGCCTGTCATCCTTCTCGGGTCCCACCTCACCCACCGTGTTTGATGGCAGGTCTAGTCGGAGGTCAGCATGATTTGCTGTCAGGTTCAAGTAGCAGAACCCTTCAAGAAGCTGTGCTTGCTCCCCGGAACCCCAATCGTGTCTGGTCCAGCATTCTCTGACCTCGATATCGAACAAAACACCGGCTGACCTGCGGCGCAATGTCGTCCTCCCTCTTGCCTAGCTTTATGAAAAATTGTCGTACGCCAGCAGGTGCACTAGGCCAAGGGTGACGCAGGCTGGCTCGCTGATGTCCCGGCTGTGTCAAAGGCGGCACTTCGGACTGCGCTCATGGGAGGCTCCATGCTCCTTTGGAGCGCTTGGCACTTGTGCTAAGCTTATCCTGCCATGACGAAATGATCCGTGCGGCCTATACATAAATTCATTAAACCGTTTTTCTTCTGGAACTCTCTATAGAAGGCTATCAAACTGCGTTGAAGCGGTGCTTGTCTACCCCATCAGCCTGTAAAGTCTCTCCCCCAGACCTGAAATCTGTTTCGTACCTTCATCGATCAAAATTAGAACAGAAAACCCGCGCTGGGACGACCTGGAGTGTGAAATAAGAATATCCGTGCACCGGTTAACAGAACCCAAGCAGACGTCGCGTTCATCAGATCTGACAAAATCAACACCATCGCACAGCAGCATCGCCGGCTGCCACACAACAATACCCCCCCTAAACCCTAAACCCGACACCGGCGGTTTTCTGGGCACCCCAGCATCGTCTGGATGGAAAATGGTCCGAGTAATTGGCCTCAGCACTCTGGAGTCTCATGCTTTAGGACTTGAGTTTAGGGCTTAGGGTTTAGGGTTTAGGGCTTAGCGGCTTAGGGTTTAGGGCCCAGGGGAATTCTGGCCAGAAGACAGGCAGTCCTGTGGAGCTGTGGGATCCTGGTGCACGAAGTATTGCCGAAGATCGATGAGAGAACATGTGCAGCACCTTCACAGGGCTCCTTCCAAGAGACTCCAATATCCCTTAATTCAGGAATATACCTTCAAGCATATTAGCGATCCTACTATGATTTAAGGTATATTCTGTAATTAAGGGTTATTGGAGTCTCTGTGTTTAAGGGGACATATAAGGACTACTGCAAGGGTTCGATCATATGGGTCAACAGCTAGAACCGGGTTTTGCAACAGTACCAGTAGCTTTGGCAACATTGGGCAAGGCAAGATGCAGTCCTTGGCTTTGTGGCCCCTGTCCTAAAAACTTGCAGGTTTACGACTACAGTATGCGTTGGCTACAGCAGACATACCACAATGATGAGACATCTAACCAAGCAAGTTGTAAACCCTAAACCCTAAACCCCCAGAACTTGAACCTGAACCCTATAAACCCTAAACCCCAAACCCCGTTAGACCTTAACCCTGTAAACTCTCGCAAATTTCGAGAACTACCATTTGTTCGAAACCCTTATAGATTATAGATCCCCTTAATAACCCTACTTGGTGGATCATGGGACCTAGTAAGTATGATTATGAGTACCCTAATTGGGGTTATAAGTAGTTAGAAGTATCATTACCGTGATATTAACCCTACTTACTAAGTCCCATGATCCTTTAAGTACAGAGGGACCCCAATCCGAGGTCCACTTGCTCTCCAGGGACCCGGCTCCAAGCGTGTATAAATGTACCTCGCGCTTGCGTGATCCTTCCACGGGGGTTCGTTTACTCAGGGTTCTTGATTTGGGTTTAAGGGTTTAGGGTTCAGGGATCTTGATTTAGGGTTCAAGGTTGAGTTGAGGGTAGGGGCTTACATCCTGAAAGCTTCGAGGGTATCGCCGCTGGAGCCGCGAAGTAAGCCTGATCGGGCCCGCCACTCAAGGCACAGCGAAGAGTCAGATATTCAAGCTGAGGGTTCACCGGGAGCTATCGTGATTTGCAGTGGCGCCGATGTGCAACCAACTGACGCATACTCGATAATGATCGATTGAGAACAAACACCGTGCAAACCACTCGAGAACCCGTGTTTATACGCACCACGAGACCGTTTGTAGACTCCTGACAACTCCCATACAAAAGCCTTCTTTACAAACCACGCAAAAACAAGAACACATCTTTCAAAGCCCTCACCATGTCAACGCCTAGCAGGCGTCCTCCCGGATTCTTTAATATGAAAGGAGTCCTCAACTCAGAAGGTTCAACCTTTTTGACCTGCAGCCCCCGAAATCAGAAGGCAGCTTAAGGCTGAAATGCCCTAAAGGGAACTCCAGAAAGTTGGAATATGGTTTCAGGGTAGGATACCTTATAATTTACCATAAAGGGTTTAAGATAATTATATTCCAACTTTCTGGCTTTTACTTTAACCGTCAAGCACTGAAGTCCTGAACCTCCCGACTGCTGTCCTTGCCGCCCTGCAGGCGCGTTCCGAACTGACCCGAGGGAACCAGGAGGTTGATGTTGTTGGAACCGACCTCGGTTTCTCGGATAAGGATGCTGCATATGGGTATTGTGAAAGTGATGATACCACTATTAATCAGGAATATATTAGTAGCAGTAGTAACGTCGTAGCAAGAGTAGCCAGTAGCCCACTGGTAGCTGGTCCGAATACTATTCTTTGTGTTGGTAGTAGTAGGGGTACTACTACTACTACTACTACTACTACTACTACTACTACTACTACTACTACTACTACTACTACTGCTACTGCTACTGCTACTGCTACTGCTACTGCTACTGCTACTGCTACTGCTACTGCTACTGCTACTGCTACTGCTTCGCAATACTGGTAACAACAACAGTAATCAGAAAGCCGGTTGAGGTGTACACAGGAGTCAGTTCAGGTTCCAAACTCGCGAGAGAGTGACTGGTTCTCGGGTGCCCCGAGCTTCAAACTTCACTGAATATTTTAAGCTACATCATAGAATGATTCATATAAACTCTGTAGTATACTTCTTATACATATTTTCAGGTACACATACATGGTTCTAAGCTCGCAATTCCTCTGGATGCCTAGAGTTTATAAGTCTATATAGATTTCTCTGGTTTGGGGATTTCAGGCAGGACTCTGCAGTTGGGGCCTGAAATGTTAAGGGCGTTTAGGAGCTCAGCTTCCCGGCAGGCTCGAATGAGGCGAAGCATTACTGGCTCTCATGCTGCAGATGGGGACTGAGGGTTGAGGGTTAAGTAAAGGATTTAGGAAACACAATCTCAGATGAGCCTCTTCAGTGTACACGAATGCGACATAGCTGACCCCCCATTATCTTTCCCGCCGCCATCTTCATCGTCATCTCCATCGTTATGAGGTATGGGGAGTTAGCAACATCAACACCGCAATTATTCTCATTGCCAGCACCGGCAGCATCACCGACACCCAACACCAGCACCACCATCATCAACACCAAGGCAAAGGCATTCAGAGTCACTCATTCTGTTCTTGCATCAGCACCATCAGCACAAACATCACGAGTCATGCAAGTGGTCAGGATAGGCAGCTAAGGTATGATGGACATGATCTACGTCCACAGAACCGCAAGATATCGCAAGTCTTCGTGGTACCAGCGCGAGTTTGCAGCCAGGAGGGCTTAGGGCACGTTTAAGTTTTACGGAAAAACGCAAACCATATGAAGACAAGCTTTCCACTTCCAAATTCCTCCAGAAGCAGCCCCTCCTGCGCCCGGAAAGCCCCCAACCCGGCATTCAAGTAGAATGGCCTTTGTGGGGAAACCACGCAAATAGTATTGCCCGGTTCTCCCATCTTAACCCTAAGGCGTTGACATGTATACCTCAGCATTTTTGCATACAAAAATTGCTAGCCAGATAGGTACCACCCAGAGAGCCCAATACCCCTTAATTAAGGAATATAGCTTAAATCATTATATGTAGCCCCTTATAATGTAAGGTATATTGCTTAATTAAGGGTATTGTTCCGAAAATAGGGGACCCTAATATAGTACCCTAAACAGTAGGATCCTTATCATAAGGACCCCCAAATAAGGTACCCCCTATGCTTTTTGGTTCTTCGACCCTTATACTGTTTGTACCCAGTACGTTCGTACTATATGCGACGAAGCAGCGAAGTTCTGCGCCATGCCAACAATCGTTCCTTGCCTAGGCACACGCAGGCTGCTGCTTGCTATGATGCATTTGGGAGTTTCCGAAAAAAGGGGACCCTAATATAGTAGCCTACTATGTAGGATCCTAATTGTCAGGACCCTAACTAGTAGGATCCTTATTACAAGGACCCGAAATAGCAGGATCCTTATTGTATGGGAACCGACATAGCAGGATCCTCATGATAAGGGACCCGAAATAGGGTACCCCTACTTGTCGGAAACTCCCAGAGAGCCCAGTACCCCTTAATTAAGGAATATAGCTTAAATCATAGTATGAACCTAAACCCTAAACCCTAAACTACCCAATGAAGCCCCTCAACCCTAAACCCTAAACCCTTCATTAAGGGGTATTGGGCTCTCTGGGCTCCCATTTTGGCGGGAGTGGGCCGGGTCGCTTCTGAGGGGCGCCTGCCGACGATTCCTAGATCTCTCAAACCCTACCTATAGTCTCCATTGTAGTTCCTTTTCTTGGTTAACCAGTTTTGTGGTTAGGATCCTATAATAGAGATTTTGGTTAGCCAAAAAAAGGAACTACAATGGAGATTATAGGTACGAACCCTCAGCTGTGAAAAGCCCGGTTTAGGCGATTTAGGGTTTAGGGTTCAGGGTTTAGGGTTTAGGGGTTTAGGGTTTAGGGTTTTAGGGTTTTGGGTTTTAGGGTTTAGGGTTACTACAAACCTTCAACTGTGAAAAGCCCTAGACCCTAATCCAATAAGCCTACAGACCCTAGACCCTCAACCCTGAAGCGCATCTGAGTTCAGGGCAAGGACGCCTCTCCTCAGTATCCACAAGAAGTTGGTTGTTGCTGGTTATTAAAGGGAACTCCAGAAAGTTGGAATATGGTTTCAGGGTAGGATACCCTATAATTTACCATAAAAGGTTTAGTTTAGGATAATCATATTCCAACTTTCTGGCTTCTACCTTAAGACTGTTAAGGGTGGCCAAAATGCTGAGGTGTAGGTGTTGCGAATGCATGCGTTTTCTAGGAGAAGGAATCTTAGGGTTTCCAGTAGCTGGCATCGGCTGAGTCTTCAGGTAGTGAGAGATGAGGGCTCATGAGGTGCCTATGTCGTTGCCTGTTCTTGGCTGACTTCTGAACCCCTCCACAAAGTTAAACTTTTTGCCTCCTTGTTAACCTTATCATAGCTCATATAGAAACCCAAACAGTTAAAGTCCTAAGAGCCAACCAGAAGAACGCCAAGTGTTGTTCAGGGCTGTCCGCCACCGCATCTTGGAGGCTTGGAGGCTATGGTTTGCATTTCTATACGGCCGGTCTGAAAGTTGCCCCGAAGGTATTGGGTAGTTGTCAAAATTATGGCCCCTTTTTGGGTACCCTAAATATTAGGTGTCGTGCTATAATATGGACCCCAAAAAGGGACCATAATTTGACAACTACCCTTATGGATCCAGATGCCATGAACATGGCTTCCGGTCGGACCCTAATCCACAACTGACCTCAGCCTCAAACCTATAAACCACTCCAAGTAAGTAGAAACCTGGGAAAATAGTATAACCTACCTGGCACACCAAACCGCACAGTCAGTGAAGAAGCCTAGCAAGAAAAATATGCAAACTCTGATCCCTACCTCTATGTAAACTCAATGTAGACCCTAAACCCTCAACCCGAAACCGCAGTCCTACGGCTAACTTTTCAAAGTCGAGTTCAAGCTTGAAGAAGTATGAAGAGTTTGAGGTATCTTGCTCAGACTTGAAGATTCGATGGATTTGACCCTAAACCCTACACTAGGAGGGGCTTCTAAAGCCTTTGAAAAATTTTCGTAGGTAAGATCCTCTTAAGCCCAAGAAGAGCAAACATAAAATGTCCCCAAACCCTAAAGCTTTTTCCGCCTGTCAGCATCTTGGCTCACATACGGAAGACCGTTGCTGATCAGGCGAACTGGCAGCGCAGAGTAGCACATTCTACGGTTTAGCTAGGGCTTCGGATGTTTCGGGTTTCAGGAGTTTAGGGAGAAGGATGTTGAGTTTAGGTTTGGGGTGTTAGGGTTTTCGGGTTTAGGCTTCGGGGGGTTTAGAGCCAAAGGGTTTGACGGCAAAGCGCCCGCGAACCTGCTCCTGAACCCAGAGTTCGCGAATTATAAGCCCGACGCTGTGATGTGACAACTGTCACACAGCTCGCGACACACTGACTTCTGCGCCTAATGGCCCAGGACCCTCTTTGTACCCTGAAATAGGGGTATATGGTCCCTAATAGTAGGCATTTAGGGTCTAATAGAGGGTTGAGGGAGGGTCTAGGGCTCGAGATTGAGAAGCTGATCGTGTACAGCGCTGCTATCACCACCAGAAGCAGGATCACCCCAGGTCACGACAGAACCATCAAGAAGAATCGCAGCGAATGCACGCCTTGAGGCTTGGATCGCCTGCACATTCTTCAGCTGATCCTCAACACACCTACTATCGCCACCAGCCGAGGGATCGCCCCAGGTGACAACCGTCCCATCGTCAAGAATGGCAGCAAAAGCAGCGGAGCAGGCTTGGATCTGCTGTACATTGCTCAGCTGGGCGCTGTAACCACCATAGTTAGCATCGCCCCATGTCACGACAGATCCGTCCTCAAGAATGGCCGCGAAGGCTCTCATAGTGGCCTGGATCCGCTGCACAGCTTTCAGCTGATCCCGGACAGCGCTGCTGTCACCACCATGGAGGGCATGGCCCCAAGTGACGACGGACCCGTCCTCAAGGATAGCTGCGAAAGCTCCTGCGGAGGCTTGGATCTTACGCACATTCTTCAGCTGACGCTGTGCATATTTGCTGTCACCACCACATTGAGCATGACCCCAGGTCAAGACAGATCCATCTCCAAGTAAAGCAGCGAAAGCGCCGCCAGAGGCTTGGATCTGCTGTACAGCCTGCAGCTGATCCTCCACAGCACTGCTGTCACCACCGCAGCCAAAGTCACCCCAGGCTACGACAGATCCATCAGCAAGAATGGCAGCGAACGCGGCGGAGGAGGCTTGGATCTCCTGCAATGTAGGGGCCTTAATGGTTAGAAGAGGGTTTTGGGGGTATCTTATTATAATAGAGTTATATTACCATAAGGAACCCCCAAAATGGTATTGGTCATAATCTGGCCCCTGCAGGAAAGCCCCAGAATACCCCTTATAGTAAGAATTATAGACCCCTTGAAAGGAACCCTGTTAACCCTATTAGGATCTCCTTCACATTCTTCAGCTGATGTTGCACAGCACTGCTGTTACCACCCAGGTCAGGAAGACCCCAGGTCACCACAGTTCCATTGAGAAGGATGGCAGCAAAGGCACCATTTGAAGCTTGGATTTGCAGCACATCTTGCAGCTGTTCCTGCACGGAACTGCTGTCGCCCCCAGACAAAGCATCTCCCCATGTCGCAACTGTTCCATCCTGAAGGATGGCAGCGAAAGCGTACTCAGTAGCCTGGATCTGCTGTACATTCTTCAGCCGCTCCCGCACAGAACTGCCGTCACCCCAAGAGACGACCGAGCTATCCCCAAGGATGGCAGCAAAATCAAAGGCAGAGACCTGGATGTGCTGCACATTCTGCAGCAAATCCTTGGCTTTACTTCTGTCACCACCAAAGCAGCCATTGCCCCATGTCAGACAACTTCCATCGCAAAGGATGGCAGCAAAGCCGTGCCTGCTGCTACATACCTGAACTCGGCCTACGTGCCACGTGAGCGAGTCACCATTCTGCAGGCTAGCATGCTTGATCGAAACACATCCATCCACAACGGTTCCAGATGAATCCAGGAGTCTTCCTTTGCCGACTCCCAGCGCAGCCTGTGCGCGACGCGCCAGCACTGCCACCTCTTCATCCAGCCCCACTTCCACTGTAACCGATCTGCCACTGAGCAGTCCTACGTCCACAGAAATCGACATGCTGAGCACAGCAGGAAGACAAGTGCCCAAAACAGCTGCTTGGCTTAGGTTTTGCGGTTTTAGGTGCTGTTGATGTTATCAAGCCTAAGCCACCTGCCGAGCCTAAACCTAAACCCTAAACCGTACGCCCTAAGCCCAAAAGGCCCTGAACTTGACACCCGCTGCCTTGGACCCAAACTCATCCTGCGCCATACGGTTGATGATATAAATCCTGCATTACCTTAAGGGCCCTAAACTATGGGAATTATGGTATATTCCTTATAATGGGTCATGCAGGATTTATATCATCAACCGTATGATTGAATTTAGAAGCCCAGGCCCAAACCTTACTCTCTCTTGCAAAGTCCACGGAATTCCTATTCCAAACTCGGAGCAGACATGTTGAAGGTACTAGGACTAGGAGGTATGTTGGGGTGGAGGTAGAGTAGAACCGAGAGCATGTAAATGTGGGCCCACGGTGCTTGACAAAACACACCCGAATTAATTGAGCTCCGGAACAGAAACAACCAGGCACAGCATACAGACTCACAGGGCTTATGAAGCCTCTGTGTTGTCTAAACAAGACTATACTGAACTTAGAACCCTAGCAACAATTATAATTTTAGCTGTGTCTTAGGGATTCTAATAACCAAAAATTAAAAATATTTCGAAGTACCACTAAGGTCCATGTGCAAGTAGAACCTACTTTGGCCTTAAAGTATCGGAATAGGTTTATAGTTGTACTACAGTGGATGATATAAATCCTGGAATCCTGCATGCCCCGTAATAAGGAATATACCATACTTCCCATAGTTTAGGGTCCTTACCCAAAGGGTCCTATGTACTGTTATGGGGAATACTTCCCCAAATCATAAAAGTAATTCCTAATACAGAACCATTCTACTATATCGGTACTTTGGACCCTTTGGGTTAAGGTAATGCAGGATTTATATCATCAACAGTAATACCCTTACAGTTCCCTTAAAAGGTACATGGGCTCTTTGCGATTCGATGTCGGGGAGTTGTCGCTCTGGCCAGAGCCTCCAAAACCCCTTATTTAAGGAATATACCTTAAATTATAATCGGATCCCTAATATGATTTTAAGGTATATTCCTTAATTAAGTGGTTTTGGAGGCTCTGGGTGACTGGCTCCCATAGTCTGGGATTGGGCGTTTACGCCCCCATGGTTACGACGGATTTGCGGGTTTATACATCTACACACATATATAGAATGTGTATATACATACACATGTATACATATGGGTGGTTGCCAAAATTAGGGTCCCTTTTTGGGTATCCTAAATTATAGGTGCCGTATTGAAATAGGGACCCCAAAAGGACCATGATTTTGACAACCCCCCACATAATACATACATACATACATACAGACATACGCACATCAGTCTGTAACCATTTCGGCAAACATGTAAACACACATCACACACATACTTGCTTGCCGTTTACAGATTGGCAGACATTTCAATAGTGAATCGCGTCTCTTGTTTACTCACGGGTCGGGCTGCTGCAGGTTCTGGGCTACGGGGTTGCACTGCGTCCTAGCCAAACAACCCACATCCCCAGCAGCCTTCATGCAAATAGTTGCTTGCCGGCTGTAGTAGTGTAGTTCCTATACAGTGTTGACGAGTTCGGAAAGGCGCAAAAGAGCTCAAGAATTCGTTATATGGTTCCTGAACCTGGAGCCTAAGCCATCACATCACAAATCCCAGAAATTCCAAGCTACTGGCGCCCCATCCCGCAAGCTTCGAAACATGGGAGTTTCCGAACATGAGGGGTACCTTAGCTTGGGGTCCTTATAATAAGGATCCTATATCACGATCCCCTGTTTGGGGAAACTCCCCAAAAGTGGCCTCAACAAGGGGAATGCGGGGGGGGGGGGGGGGTATATGCTATGCCATATGATTACAAGAGTAATCCTGATAAAAACATTGTGACTTTGAATGATTTAGGCTTCAAAAATTTCCGGACCCGAAACCCTTATTTATCTTTCCAAGGTGTTCCGAAGCCTGTACCCTGCTCGGAGACTATAGTGTTTCAGATGCAGCTGCAGGAATTCTATAGGGCTTAGAGAGGGTGTTGAGGTATCGGTCCATATAAAGTATAAGGGAGAAATAAGGGGTTAGTCTTACTAATTGCTCAGACCCTCATGTTGCCCAAACGCGAACAGCCTTGACCATTGGACTCCAAACTGCTAACCCTGACACTGCGAGGAGGCCACGCTGCGACGCCAAGACTTGTGCGTTTAATGGATCGAAATTCAGAAGCTGATCCTGTACATCACTGCTATCACCGCCAGAACCACCATCGCCCCAAGTCACGACAGAACCATTACCAAGAACCGCAGCGAATGAACGCCTTGAGGCTTGGATCGCCTGCACATTCTTTAGCTGATCTCGAACAGAGCTGCTGTCACCACCAGAGCGAGCATCGCCCCAGGCGACAACCGTTCCATCGTCAAGGATGGCAGCAAAAGCAGCAGACGAGGCTTGGATCTGCTGCACATTCTTCAACTGACATTGAACATCAGTGCTGTGGCCACCATAGTTCCCATCGCCCCATGTCACGACAGATCCATTCTCAAGAATGGCCGCAAAAGCTCTCATTGATGCCTGGATGTGCTGCACAGTTTTCAGCTGATCCCGGACAGTGCTGCTGTCACCACCAGCCTCAAGCTCACCCCATGTCACAACGGATCCGTCCCCAAGGATCGCAGCGAAAGCTTCTTCGGAGGCCTGGATGCGCTGCACAGCCTTCAGCTGATACTGCACATGTCGGCTGTCACCACCAGAATGAGGACGACCCCAGGTCACGACAGATCCATCGACAAGGATGGCCGCGAAAGCGTCCTCAGTAGCCTGGATGTGCCGTACATCCTTCAGTCGATCCTGCACAGCAATATTGCTGTGACCACCGTCGTGCCCGTTGAGGCCCCACGACACGACAGATCCATCATCGACAATGGCAGCAAAAGCACGCCCTGAGGCTTGGATCACTTGCACCTTCTGCAGCTGCTCCTGCACGTCGTTGCTGTCTCCACCAGATTCAGCACAGCCCCAAGTCACGACAGATCCATCGTCAAGAACCGCAGCGAATGCACGTCTTGAGGCTTGGATCACCTGCACATTCTTCAGCCGATCCCGAACAGTTCTGCTATCGCCACCAGCGGAAGCATCGCCCCAGGTGACGACCGTTCTATCGTCAAGAAGGGCAGCAAAAGCAGAGGAGGAGGCTTGGATCTGCCGGACGTTCTTCAGCTGATCCGGCACAGCAGTGCTGTCACCACCCTGGGCAGCTCCGCCCAGAGTCACGACAGAGCCATCCCCAAGGATGGCTGCAAAACCAAAACCAGAGACTTGTATCTGCTGCACATTCTGCAGCTGATCTTGCACAGCCCTGCTGTCACCGCCATAGACAGTATTGCCCCAAGTCACGGCACAAGCATCACAGAGGATGGCTGCGAAAAAATGCCTGCTGCCACATACCTGCACTCGGCCTACGTGCCACGTGAGCGAGTCACCATTCTGCAGGCTAGCATGCTTGATCGAAACACATCCATCCACAACGGTTCCAGATGAATCCAGGAGTCTTCCTTTGCCGACTCCCAGCGCAGTCTGTGCGCGACGCGCCAGCACTGCCACCTCTTCATCCAGCCCCACTTCCACTGTAACCGATCTGCCGCTGAGCAGTCCCACGTCCACAGAAATCGACATGCTGAGCACAGCAGGTAGACAAGTGCTCGAAAAGAAAATCCCACGCACACATCTACTAGATGGGTGGGTGGGATCTTGATGTCAATGCGGCCTAAACCAGAAGACTTACCCTAAGCCTCCATGTACCCAAGTGAATAATATGTGCCTTGTTTAGGTATAAAAGAAATACTGTTTGGATCTGCTTGGGCACACGGAGCCTTAGGCCTTACGGCTATCGTGGTCGAAACAGCCCGAAACCCTAAAGCCCCAATCATAGAGTCTGAATAATTACGGATACGACCCAAAACCCAAAAAAACCTAAACCCTGAACCCTAACCCACTACCAAGACCCCCCAAGTGCCCTCTAATATACCCCAAATACCCACCATTCAGGGTCATAAGGACTCTATTAAAGGGCCCTTGGGGCGGGTCCTGGTAGTGCCTGAGGCTCCTTCTTGTAGTCATAGCAAGATATGGCAGCTTCCGAAAACAGGGGACCCTATTATAGTACCCTAAAGAGTAGGATCCTTTTTATAGGGACCCCCCCCCCCAAAATAAGGTATCCCTAATTGTGGGAAACTCTAAACCCTAAACCCTTTATAGAACCCTTATAGATCCCTTTCAGGAACCCTTATAAATCCCTTATAAGGTACCCCTAATTGTTGGAAACTCCCAGGTCTTCCCACCAACCCTGTTCGAACTTCCGAGCCCGACGTCAAGAGTTTTGTGTTTAGTTAAGAAGGGAGTGCTGTTTGACTGTAAACAGCAACTGTCGTGGACACTTCAATCCGATCTGCAGCTCGTCGAAGCCCCTCGACAACAACAACAACAACAACAACAACCCTACACGTCCTTCCGACCTGAACAACTGCACAGCTCCGAGAACTAAGCCTTAAATTTAATCGTCAATGCAATCAAGCCTGCTGCAATGCTGTTTGCACACATTTCAGGCATTGGTTCCCCCAAAAACTACACCCCATTTTATCACCACTGCCACTACAACCCGTGACCCTAACCCAGAGCCTCCCAAACCCCTTAATTAAGGAATATACCTTAAATTATATTACGGATCCTATTATACTTTAAGGTATACTCCCTAATTAAAGGGTTTTGGAGGCTCTGGGAACCCTGATGACCGTCTTGGCTCCATGCCGTGGTGGTAGGCGCTGTGTTCGGCAACATACCCAGCCTGGGAGAGACGAGGTCCTACCCAGAGCCTCCAAAACCCTTTAATTAAGGAGTATACCTTAAAGTATAATAGGAGCCCTAATAAAATGTAAGGTATATTCCTTAATTAAGGGGTTTTGGAGGCTCTGGGTACCAGGACCCTGAAGAACCTACCTTTTTAGGGCTCCTTATTATGATTTCCTTATATAAGTCCTTAAAAAAGGTAGGTTATTGGGGGTCAAGGTATACCCTAAGGCTCTAAGGACTCATATTTGAAGGCCTTTAGGTCCAAAGACCATTACTGTATAATATGTATATAACGCTTTTCTTTGGGCTATTTCGAGCCTCAGGGATAGAGTCCAACAAGTACCAGCACCCCCCCAAACTACCCTTGATTATACCCTAAATATCCACGATTAAGGCACCAGAACGGCTCATTTGGGGAGAGTATAGGATGCAACGTGGGGTTTCGGGTGTATACCTTTGCGTCACAATGGGGATGGATGGGTTTAGGGCTGCTATAGGTTCAGGGGCTTAGGGCACGCTGGGGATGTGTGGGTTTTTGGGCTGTGGGTTGTCTAATGGGTTTGGGGCCTTGCGGCTTGGAGCGACTCCTGCACGCCCAAACACTACCTGGGCCCTAAAGAACCTACCTTTTGAGTCAGGGTTCCCGATTATGATTTCCTTATATAGGTCCTTAGAAAGGTAGGTTATTTGGGGTCAATAATGTCACCTTGAGTCAAGGTACTTAAAGGATCATGGGACTTAGTAACTGGGGTTATTATTAGGGTAACTATACTTATAACCCCAATTATGGTACTTATAACCTTACTTACTAAATCCCATGATCCTCCAAGTACTCCAAACCCTAAGCAACGCTGCACTGATTCACGGTCCTCCGGACTTCGGGGTTCCCAGAGCCTCCAAAACCCTTTAATTAAGGAGTATACTTTATGGAACCCTAAAAAGGTAGGTTCTCTAGGGTCCAGGTAGGGTTTAGGGTTCCCAGAGACTTCAATATCCTTTAATCAAGGAATAATCCTTAAAAAAAATAGGATCCCTAATATGATTTAAGGTATATTCCTTAATTAAGGGGTTTTGGAGGCTCTGGGGTCGGGTCAAGCTCTGACGTATTTGGGGGTGCAAGGCTGCCGGAGGTCTTTGGGGGCTTCAGGCTTCAGGACTTAGGGATTATAGGGTTTAGGGGTTTAGGGGTTTAGGGTTTAGGGGTTTAGGGGTTTAGGGTTTAGGGTTTAGGGTTTAGGGTTTAGGGGTTTAGGGGTTTAGGGTAGGATTAGATCTTGAAGGCGTTCATCTGCGGTGTGTAGGAAAAGCGCAAGCACGGCATAAAACTTGAATTGGGCATCCTCAGCTTATCCGGGCATGCTCTGGGAGCTGTTCGGGCCTTTTCGGTAGCATCATAGGGACCCTTAGGGGAGTTGGGGGGGAGGGGGGTAGGGGGCCTTCATACGTAGAAAAAAAAACTTAAGAAGGCCTACTTAAGTATAGTCCCCTACCCCCTCACCCCCAACTCCCTTACGGGTCCCTATGATAGCAAAGGCTTGGGGCTGGGTAACATCTGGCCCTATGATTAGAATAAAGTGTTGGGGGGTGCACCACAAAGGCTCCTAGGGCCTCATTTAATTATGTCCCCTGAACCCTAAACCCTAAACTAAGCCCAAGGCTTCTTCTCAGGGATCCATAGATCTGCTGCAAGGTCGCCGTGCTCACAGCCGAAACTTCAGCACCGCTTCGGAGCCCAAGGTGTCCTTCAACTGGGAATCCAGGACAGCCACTGTGGGCTGGAGGATTGCACGGGTGCCTGCTGTCCTGGTAATCTCGGCCACCTCGGTTGCCCACCAGCCCTGCTGAAAAATGCCCTTGATGGCTGGATTGAAATGCTTCGGCCCGCTGTACTGGCTGAAGAAACACATCTTCGGGCTTTGTCCGGGTCCATTGGCCTGCCAACAAGAAGTTCTCCTCGAACACGTGCAGAAAGGCACGGCTCAAAGATGCGATGGTCTCCCAATATTCCTCCATTAAGGAATATACCTTGAATTATAGTCGGATTCCAAATTGTCATTTAAGGTCTGTTCCTGAATTCAGGGATATTGGAATCTCTGGGTCCCATATGGGCACACGGAGCCTCAGGGTATTAAACTTTCATTGTAATAATAAGGCACCATGGGGAAAATGGTTTAAAAGCTGGGCTTCCCGCAAGCTGTGCCACCTTCACGTCGCTCCTGACTAAGGCCCCAAGGAAAAACAAGAGATATCCCATATACACCCCCTTATAATGAAGCCCAACAAGCTATGGATATCCCTGTATTGACTTGTTCTGATATCTTTTTTGAGTCCCTAGCTGACTGCACTGACTGACGCAGAGGTCGACGGTTTTAGGGCTTTTGGATTAGGACTGCACGGGTTCACGCACGTGCTGCATATAGGGGCCTTCACGAATGGATGTGAGTATATGGGAGTTTCGAAAGCTAGGGCTAACGCTTTTTTGGGTCCTTATAGTAAGGATCCTGCTATTTTGGGTACGATAGTAGGGTCCCCTATATTCGGAAACTCCAATATTGAGGAACCCAAACAAGGACAAGTATTGACAAATATTCAGGCTTCTATAGTAGTTTAGGGTTCGGTTGCGACGCTTTCGGAGCCTTCATGGAGTGCTTTGCAGATGAGGAGGGAGCAAGGTAAGTTGAGTTATGGTTTCTGTACCTGTCGTATGAGCTACGTTGCACCATATTCTGTTAGCATGCAATACCTTCAAACCTTCTTGCTATGCTATGCTCTCTGACGGCGGCCTCCGAAATAGAGCTGGCCCTTATAGTTGAAAGTTATGGTTTGCTAGAACCTTCTGGCTTCAGCACCCGTCTTGTCATGGTGAACGAGGCAGTATTCGGCACCACTCCCTGACCTATCGGGGAATAGACAGCGATGTAGCAAACCACACTACAGCTGAAGGTTCAGCAACAGCTGCCAAAGGATGGGGTTAAAGGGTCGAGGGTGATGGCTTAGAGTTTCGGTTTCAAAACCGAGATCACCATAGCCGGACCAACGAGTAAATACTCACTGCCTGGAGAGGATAATGTTGGTAAGTATGATGGCTTCTAAATACTGAACTTAGAACCCTAGCAAAAATGACAATTTTAGCTGTTTCTTAGGGATTATAATAACCAAAAAATTAAAAACATTTCTAAGTACCCCTAAGTCTATACTAGCCCTCACACCTCAACTAACCCGCCAACCCTGGATCCCGAAAGCCTGAAACGCAAAAAAAAAAAAGCACCAGCCGAAACCTCACCTTCATTTCCCAATCCGCCCCCCTAAACCCAAAGACTCCAATATCCCTTAATTAAGGAATATTCCTTAAATCATATTAGGGATCCTACTATAATTTAAGGAATATTCCTTAAATCATATTAGGGATCCTACTATAATTTAAGGAATATTCCTTAAATTGTATTAGGGATCCTACTGTAATTTAAGGAGTATTCCTTTAATTACGGGATATTGAAGTCTCTGGGCACCCTAAACCCTACCTGGACCCTAGAGAGCCTACCTTTTTAGGGCTCCTTATTATGATTTCCCTATATAGGTCCTTAAAAAGGTACGCTATTCGGGGGGTTAAGGTAAACCCTCAACAATCAAAAATGCTGAACTTCACCCATCCTCAGATTGCGCTTGAACGTGGCGTAGATGATCTTCCGCTGTCCAGGCTTGAAGCCATCCACGAACTGGCCAGCTTTGGATACAAGGACGCTTCAGGGCTTTGGAGCTTTTGGGATTGCTTTAAGCCACCATAACTTGCTTTATTGTAGGTGGTTGTTATAAACCGTGACATATAGATGGACAGGGGCCCTACCAAAAAGTAGGTTTCGGTCGTTCAAGGTAGGGATTGGGGCTTCGGGCTTAGGCTTATAAGCTCTATAGGGGTTTAGGGGTTTAGGGCTTAAGGGTTTAGGGTTTAGGGTTTAGGGGTTTAAGGGTTAAGGGTTTAGGGGTTAAGGGTTTAGGGTTTAAGGGTTTACGGTTTAGGGATTGGGGCTCAGGGCGTATGATTTAGAAGGGGCCCCCACCCTGTAATAGTGACTATAAGGATTATATTAGGGCCCTACGGTATTCCTATTATACCACTATTTCAGGGTGGGGGCCCCTTCTAAGGTATGATCTACAGCTCCGGGGCTGGGAATTCTGGGTTGAGGTTCCACACCTGGGCCCTAAAGAACCTACCTTTTTAGGGCTCCTTGTTATGACTTCCATGAAAAGAGTCCTTAAAAGGGCAGGTTCTTCGGGCTTAAGGTGAACCCTAACCCCTGGACTTACGAGAACCCCAAAAGCCCGAAATCAAAGGTTAACCTACTTGTCGGGTATCATGGGGAACTAAAGGTTAAGCTTTTTGGTTATATAGGGATTTATGTAGGGACTATACTACCCAAATAAAGTTACAGGTTACCTGCTCTACTACTAGGTTAAGGGTCTTCTTCTGCCTACGTGAGCTGCCTTTGGGTCCTGGGGGGCCTGTGGACCCGGAGGCCATGGTGACTGAGGTCTTCGGGGACCTCTTTACCCCGTAGCCAAGACATTTGCACGATTTTCTGGAAGGCTTTTGACATGCTTTCAAATATCTTTAGAAGTACAATTATATATATATATATATATATATGTATGTATGTACATATCTGTCTCTGTCTCTGTCTCTCTCTCTCTCATATATATATATATATATATCTTTCTATAGAGAGGTAATAATGTATGCATATGCTTTTCATGACAGGGATATTATAGGACTCCTGGGTCCGAAGGAAAGAACCCGACCTCAAAATTCGGACCCGGAGCCAGCCACGCTGTACAGCAGGGGTTTAGGGTTTAGGGTGGTTTAGGGCTTTTTTGAAACGCAATGGGCCTTCTGCAGGGTTCAGGGTGTAGGGATTTAGGGTTTAGGGCTTCTAGGGTTTATAGCGTCACTGTACAGCTCTACGTCAGCGCCCTTCGAACCAGAAAACACCCAAACGGCCCAAGTAATACGTAGTGAAACATAGTCTTTGGGGGTCCAGATACCTATTCAGCACCTACTATAATTGTATTTGGACCATTTGGGTCAGAATATGCGTTAGGTCTTTAAGAACCCCTCGGGGATGTACTGCAATAAAGAACAAAAGAGTTCCATAACACACTCTGCCACGATGAGGCTATGTAATGCCCAAATGCACTCCTTAATAATTCGAACAGGGTTCTGGGGACCATTATACTGTAATTATAAGGAACTCTGAAAATAATGTAGCTACGTATTTAGGTCCCTAGAGTACATCGGGAAAGACTCTCATTCGTCTTGAACTTCCCGAGCTCCGAAGCCCTTGAGGTAGAGGATGGTCTTTGCCGAGGAGTTTTCAAGCTAAAGCCTGTGACCTCCCAGGGAAGGGCGAAAAATATTTTCTATACTGAACTTAGAACCCTAGCAAAAATTGTAATTTTAGTTCTTTCTTAGGGATTATAATAACCAAAAATTAAAAACTATTTCTAAGTACCCCTAAGTTTTAAGCAAGAGCTTACAACAAGATTACTTTGCGAAACTACTAGTGACGAGGCTGCCGTCGTGAGGTCCACAATAACTACCCTAACCCACCAGAACATACTTTTTGGTAGGGTCCCTAAAAATTCCATATTTGGGTTTATAATACGAACCCAAAAGAACGTAGGGTTCGGTAGGTTAAGGGAACTACTCAAAGCCGAGCAAACCCACGACTCTAGTTAAACCCGTATAGAACCCGTTATAGGACCTTCCATTTCGAACCCTGAAATGAACTTGCAAAGTAAAGATCCCGTAGCGGAACCGCTGATACTCTGAAATCTTCAAGCTCTAAACCCAAAGGCCAGGGCCCCCGCACAAGGGATGGACCGCATGACGTCGTAGCGGGAGAAACAAACGAGCTCCTGAAACCGGGCGTGAGCCAGACGTTAGGAGGTAGAAAATATAGGCACTAGAATCAATCGCCTTGGACAATGGCTTCGGGATGCATACTGGGTATGAACATACGAAGAGCGACAGCAGATTCATCCCCAATCTCAGTGCACAAGTTTGAAGCTTACGACGCCGAGGCATCTTCGGGTTGTGAGCCTTGCATGCTGAGATCTGGACTATGCAGCGGTTTAGGTATGAGAAGACGTCCGCCTGGGTTTTGGCCGTGCTGGCTTCAAGTTGAATTGACGCGAAAACTTCACACCAAAAACCTGCCTATTAAACCACTCATGAGCCACAAGCCCTAGTTTCTGCGCCCTTAAAACTGAGCCCAATGCAGACCCTGCGGCAAGCCAGGGCCTTATTCACGAAGTCCGAGTACGTCACGGAGTCTCTGGAGTGATCCACTGCCTGAGAACACACAGGACATGGGGCTTCCGGACTAAGATTCCCCAAAGGTCCAAGTAATAGTATAGTATATACTTTGGGAGTCCAAATGGGAGCTTCCGAAATTTAGGGGTACCTTACTTTGGGGTCCTTAAAATAAGGATCCTACTATTTCTGGGACAATTTGGGATTCAGATTGGGGTCCTACACGTTGAACTCTGCACGCTGTATCCATACCCTCAGACCCAGAGCCTCCAAAACCCTTTAATTAAGGAGTATACCTTAAAGTATAATAGGATCCCTAGTATAATTTAAGGCATATTCCTTAATTAAGGGGTTTTGGAGGCTCTGGGGACCTGTAATCCTGATGCCCTAAAGGGGCGCGCACACTTTTGTGGCCGGAGAAATCGAGTACCTAATTACTAAGGCCCATATAATAGAACCCTTATACTAGCCCTTTTTTTTAAGAAACCTTATAGAACCTGTTAAAAGAACCCTAATTATTGGGTCCTTTGGACCCTTGGGGAATCTTGTGTTAAGGGTGGGGGAGCCCATGAGCCCCCCAAACGCAACACCCTTAAGCCCTAAACTTACCTTTGGTTAGTAGGGCTCCTTAAAGGGATCTATAGGGTGCCTTAAAGGGAAGTATAGGGCTACACCCTTAAACCCGAAACTTACCTTTGGTTAGTAGGAATAGGGCTCCTTTAAAGGGATCTATAGGGTTCCTTTAAAGGGATCTATAGGGTTCCTTTAAAGGGATCTATAGGGTTTGCTACACCCTTAAGCCCTAAACTTACCTTTGGTTAGTAGGAATAGGGCTCCTTTAAAGGGATCTATAGGGTTCCTTTAAAGGGATCTATAGGGTTTGCTACACCCTTAAGCCCTAAACTTACCTTTGGTTAGTAGGAATAGGGCTCCTTTAAAGGGATCTATAGGGTTCCTTTAAAGGGATCTATAGGGTTCCTTTAAAGGGATCTATAGGGTTTGCTACACCCTTAAGCCCTAAACTTACCTTTGGTTAGTAGGAATAGGGCTCCTTTAAAGGGATCTATAGGGTTCCTTTAAAGGGATCTATAGGGTTCCTTTAAAGGGATCTATAGGGTTTGCTACACCCTTAAGCCCTAAACTTACCTTTGGTTAGTAGGAATAGGGCTCCTTTAAAGGGATCTATAGGGTTCCTTTAAAGGGATCTATAGGGTTCCTTTAAAGGGATCTATAGGGTTTGCTACACCCTTAAGCCCTAAACTTACCTTTGGTTAGTAGGAATAGGGCTCCTTTAAAGGGATCTATAGGGTTCCTTTAAAGGGATCTATAGGGTTCCTTTAAAGGGATCTATAGGGTTTGCTACACCCTTAAGCCCTAAACTTACCTTTGGTTAGTAGGAATAGGGCTCCTTTAAAGGGATCTATAGGGTTCCTTTAAAGGGATCTATAGGGGTTTAGGGCCTTCAAGTAGTAGGGAATGGAGGAATGGGGTACAATTCTAACTACTACTACTGCCATTCTTCCATTCCCTTCTAACCAAAGGGAAGTAAAAAAAGAACCCTAAACCCTAAACCCTTAAACCCTAAACCTAGAACCTAAAATTACGCCAGGAACGGCAATCTCAGGTTCCGACATCGCCGTCCTTGTAGCAGTTGATCCACTCCTGCACTTGCCAACGGCCTAATTTATGGGTGGCTGTCAAATTTAAGATCCCTTTTTGGGTCCCTAATATAATACAGCACCTGATATTTAGGGTACCCAAAAAGGGACCTGAATTTTGACAACCACCCATATATTGGAATCGCAAGACGAAGAAATTATGTCCCCTTACTACAGCCCCCTGTACTTATCATATTGTACACCCCAAAGCCCCGTTCGAATTGTCAAGGCCGCTGTACCAAAATGCTACGAGAACCATAGCAACCCTATAAGCCCTTTAAAGGGAACCTTAAAGGACCCCATGATTAAAGCCCTTATGCCCGCAACAAACAATATAGCATCGAAAGGCAACCTATGACTAAGGCCCTTCTACCTATACCCACGATATAAACCATGAAAGGAAACCTTAAAGCAACTCTGTTCTTACGGCCTTCATACCTATAACACCTCCTATAAACCTTATTAACTTATTCTTAAGGCCTTATAGAGGAAGAACTGCAGAGTCCGAACCCGCCAGACTGGGATTTTCCATCGGAAATAGGACAGACAGGCTTTCGAGAATCTTCGTTTTTGGGCCTTTAAAGCCTCTGAAAAATATTCGTAAATAGGGTCCTATTAAGCCCAATGAGGAAAACATATGAAATATTCCAAAGGCCTACCTTGTCTTGTGTTTAGAGTTTACATAGATAGTTTGGAGCTTATGGTATAGAGAGTTGGCGCTTAGGATGATATCATGGTTAGCTAATGCCGCTTCCCAACTACTCTCCATTACTGCCCTCATACAGCCGCAACAGTCACTCAGTTCTAAGCTCTGCCTAAACCTAAACCCTGCCTGAAACTTGGCACTGGTTGACGACCCTAGGCTTTTTTGGCGTGCACTTGAAACCCCAAGCACCGTAGCCGTAAACCTTTACCCAAAGGGTCCTATGTACCAATATAGTAGAACGTGGGGTTTCCATATTAAGGATTACTATTATGACTTAGGGAAGGATCCCCCATAACAGTACATAGGACCCCTTGGGTTAGGATTACGAGTTCAAAGTTCAGGGTTTCCGGATTAAACTTGACCTCAAACACCTAAACCCGAAGCAGCATAAACGCACGAGCCCTGACCAAAAGGTGAATAAAGAAACCCTACGACCACAAGTCGCGTGAATCGCAATCCCTATCAACAACCTTCCCAACCATAAAACTCTGAAACATAATTAAACCATACGCCCTGAAAACTACACCCTAAACTCTGCAACCTAAACTCGACCCTGAAACCTAAACCCTGAAACCTCAATCCTAAACCCTGCAACCTGAATCCTATACCCTGAAGCCTGAGACTTAAACCCGAAACGCTAAACCGGAAGAAGATCGGGGAAAATCGATGAGATCTCTTGGACTCCGACCCAGGGCGCCGAACAGCTTGAGGTTTGGGGTTAGGGTATATGGGTAGTTGTCAAAATTAGGGTCCCTTTTTGGGTACCCTAAATATTATGTGCTGTACTATAATATGGACCCAAACAGGGAACATAATTTCGACAACTACCCATATAGGAGAAGCGCATAGGGTGTAGGGCGGTGTAGGGTGAGCCACATCGGAAGTCCGCTTAGCGTTAAAGTGCGCGCGACCCTTAGCCCGCTGAGCGTGATGGAACATGCGCTTTTCAGCTATTCATGACCTCAGTTGAGGTCCTTTGTATGGGAGTTTCCGAAAGTTGGGGGTAATTACCTCATATTGGGGTCCTTGTAAAGAGGATCCTGCTTACTATTTAGGGTGCGGCTATATTAGGTCCCTTTGCTTTCGGACACTCCCATATGGATATGAGTATAAAGCACCAAGGACCTAACAGTTTAACAAACCTCATATGGTGTATGGTTTATATTACTAGTATCCCCATAAGAAAACCCAATATACATATACTCACCAATATTCAAAAGGAGCCCTATCTACACTCACCAAAACGGTAATATAAGCCCTACCTACTTCATATAAGCCCATTGAAAGCCAGACCTGCCAAGTCCCCCCGGGAAAAAGCAGACGCCCGAATCCACCCTTGTCCTTTTAGAAATAATAGACAGGGCCCTATACCTATATCCCTTAGTAGGAGTTATTGAAGAAGGTCTACTAGCCGGTCTGTTTATTCTTTTGGAGGAACCATGAAAAGGACAAGGCTGAAACTCACCCTAAATTGTAAACCCTAAACCCTAAACCCCTAAACCCTAAACCCCTAAACCCTAAACCCCCACTTCGTGCCTTCCGGTCATCAGCTCGCTTCTTGTTGAAGGCCAGGTCGATGAGTTCATCGTCACGAGCACCAGTCCACTTGAAGAACATCCTACGGCTTGGTACCCAGACACTCCAATATCCCTTAATTAAGGAATATTCCTTAACATATTAGGGATCCTACTATAATTTAAGGAATATTCCTTAATTAAGGGATATTGGGGTCTCTGGGTAGTCAAAGGTTTTCCGATTTGTGTGTCTCGGGTGCAACAGGGCTGCTGGGGCTCACGAGACTTACATATTTAGGGCTTTGTGTTTATAAGGCTTACTGCTTAAGTGTAGGGCTTAACTAGGGATTATGGGAGGTGTGCCCGAAACACTAATTATAGACCCCACTCGCAGAACCTGTTAGCAGGTAGCTTATGGTGGGTGGGGGTGGGGGTGTGCCAAATCTTGGGCGGACATCCAAGCATAGAGCGCAAAACATGCTGCCCGATGACTTAGGTTTATCTGGGCGAGCCCTGCAAAGTCCGCCCTAACACTCCAACGGCGCAAGCCCTCTGAAAACCAACGCACAATCACAATAGCCGCATTTTCTCAAAGGGCCGTGATCTCCGTAATTAATGTAGGAACCTGTTTAAGAAACCTTGGTTTTTTATTTGGGTTCCTTATATAAATCCTACTATTCTGGGGTTAGAGGCCCGGGGTTTCTTAATCAGGTTCCTACATTAGAAAAGTAATCTGTAAGAGCTCCTTGTATTGTTGCCACGTACACATGATATCTACTCAGACCCATGGGGAATTGAGCTCTCGTCACCCAAACCCAAACGCAAGCGTCGTTTTGCTCGGCGAAGCCCTCGTTCGCCCTCGCCACGAATAACACCAACCGAACCAAGCTCTCATCACCCGAACCGCTGGAATAAGCAATGTAGCTGAAATCAAAATACTAAGCCACTAAGCCTCCCGGCACTTAAGGTATATACCTGTAGCCCCAAACGCTACAGAATGGTAGCTTGTGAACCCTGAATCAGAGAGTATAGCCCGCGAAGACAGTAGGTTCTTGGATCCACAGCTTTCCCCTGTGATCTCGAATAACCCTAAACCCTAAACCCTTAAAGGGAACTCCAGAAAGTTGGAATATGGTTTCAGGGTAGGATACCCTATAATTTACCATAAAAGGTTTAGGATAATCATATTCCAACTTTCTGGCTTCTACCTTAAACCCTAAACTCCTAAATCCTGAACCCTAAACCCGAAGCCCCTAAACTTTCTCCTGTGATCTCGAATGTTCTTGAAGTACTCTTTGCCCTCCTTGGCAGTGGAGGTACCGAGACCTGCCAGCAGATCCTTATAGGGTTTATAGGGTGTTTTGGGATTTAGGGGGGTTTAGGGGTTAAAGTTAGGGTTTAGCGTTTAGGGGTTTAGGGTTCGGGTTTATAGGGGTTTACCAGAACCCGCCAAGTACCCGTTAACAGAGCCCTTATGGTCCTTAGTAGTGGGTACTTAAGGTCTATTAGAAGGTAGTTAGGGGGGTCTAGGTAGGGTGCAAAGCTTAAGGTTTTGGAGTTCAAGATGTAGGGATGTCAGGTTTAAGGTAGACGGTAACATACCCTCAAGGACTACTGTAATACATGTATCCTTGATGTTGATTCTCCCTCAACCCGAACCGCTAGATTCCATAAAACTCCCATAGAGGGATGCCGAAGTTGCGGCTGTTGTGGAAAGAGTGTCAATTTGTCAGGGTTGCACACCGAAGTTTGACGACCTTAGAATTCCTGGCTGTTTATAAACCCGGAACCCTAAACCCCTACACCCCAAAATACACTAAACCCCTGAACCCCAAACCCCTAAACTCTAAGCTTCCGGCAACTGTTCTGCGACCGCTGCTGCCGGAAATGTTTTCATCCGGCCCCACCCTAAACCCTAAACACCCTTCACACCCTAAACACCCTAAACACCCTACACACCTAAACCCTAAGCCTTAAACTCCTCAACCCTAACCACCCTCATAAGCCCTAAACCGTCTACTCGCAATGGGCTGGACGTGAAGCCTCTTGACTGTGGTGCCACATCCACTGACCGGAGACTGAAGCTCGCGTTTTGTAGTCTTTGAGGTTTAAGGAGTAGTTAGGATCTGAGGACCAGGGCATGAGGTCTATAAGAACAGTTGTGAAACGGTTTGAGGATCTAGCAACCAGGATTTTTTCGGCAGAAGAATCCGGAAGTCATGAAAGCGGGACATGAAATCATGCTTCAAGTGCATGTGCAACTCTGCCAGAGGACGAAATACTGTAACCTCGCTCGAAAGTAGTCGCCGCACGCTGATTGCTGGCTGTGGGGAGATCATCGAAAATTTGGATGTTCTGCTCTTACTACGAAGCAGGCGTCCATGCCGAAGGATGCAAGGCGATGGGTCGGTTGGGAGGGCAGCCGCGTGCTGCTTCTATCCCTGGCCACGGGTGCCGTCCCACCTTCGACAAAATAATTGCCCGAGCTCGAGCTCGTCCTCGTGCTGCAATGCCGCAAACTGGTTCCGAGTTGGTTAAAGCGTTGCGAAGACAGAACTCAGACCCAGACTCTCCGTGGTTGCCTTCGCTGCCTTCGTGCATGCTCGATGTAGATCCTTGCATCTTTGCTACACACGCCTGAGCTGATTCTGCACGGCACTGCTGTCCCCGCCATAGCCAGTATCACCCCAAGTCACGATAGATCCATCCCCAATAACAGCAGCGAAGGCGCGGCTTGAGGCTCGGATCTGCTGCACATTGATGAGCCGATCTTGGACAGCGCTGCTGTCGCCACCACAGCTGGCTGGGCCCCAAGTCAGCACGGTTCCATCGCCAAGGAGGGCAGCAAACGCAAAGCATGAGGCCTGGATCTCTTGCACATTCCGTAGCCGGTGCTGCACTGCACTGCTGTTGCCGCCATAGCGAGCATCGCCCCAAGTGACGACAGAGCCATCGCCACGTATGGCTGCGAAAGCAACGTCAGATCCACAAATCTGCTGCACATCTCGTAGCTGGTCCTGCACCTTGAGGGGTTTAGGGGTTAAGTAGGGTTTAGGGGCTCCTATCAGGGTTATGCAGGGTATGTATATTTACAGGGTTTCATTTATGTACGCCCCACATTCGGGCCCACTGATTCCAATTATTCGATCAGTAGTAAGGAAGCTCAAAAAGACTATGGAAAGAGGTTACTACCGGGAGAACTGAGCACAGAAGCACTGTCACCACCGGAACGTGCATCACCCCAAGTCACGACAGATCCGTCCCGACAAATAGCAGCAAATGCATGGCTTGCAGCTTGGATTTGCTGGACGTTCTTCAGCTGATCCTGCACAGCACTGCTGTCACCTCCATAGGCAGCATAGCCCCAGGTGACCACGGATCCATCGCCGAGAATAGCAGCAAAAGCGCGGACGGAAGCTTGTATTTGTTGCACGTTCCTGAGTCGATCTTGAACCTCGCCTGGGTTCTTGTTAAGGGGCTTATGCAATTAATCTTTTTATGCTATACTCATAGATCCCGATTATGGTAACTGAAATTTAAACTCCTTAACAAGAACCCAGTCGCCGCAGTCACCGCCGTAGCCGCCATTGCCCCAAGTCACGACAGATCCGTCGCCAAGAAGCGCGGCAAAGGCGCCTCCAGAGGCTTGGATTCCCTGCACCTTTTTCAGCTGTTGCTGTACTGCACTGCTGTCGCCGCCATAGTCCGAATCACCCCATGTCACGACAGATCCATCTTCAAGAATCGCAGCAAATGCGCTGGCAGAGGATTGCACTTGTTGCACTTTTTTCAGCTGGTCCCGCACGGTGCTGCTGTCTCCGCCATGGTCAGCATCGCCCCAGGTGACGATGGATCCATCGCCAAGAATGGCAGCGAAAGCACGGCCCGATGCTTGGACCTGCTGTACGTTTGCAAGCAGATGCTGGACGGCCCTGCTGTCACCACCATAGAGAGGATAGCCCCAAGTCACCACAGATGCATCCCCAAGAACAGCAGCAAAGGCATGCTTGCTGCCACATACCTGAACCCGGTTCAGATGCAAGGTGAGCGAGTCACCATTTTGCACCCAAGCTTCCTGGATCCGCGCATAGCCATTTAGAAGACCCCCAGATGAGTTCCGGAGTCTTCCCTTGCTCACTCCCAGCGCGGTCTCTGCCCGACACTTCAATACATCTACCTCTTCATCCAAGCCTGCTTTTACTGTAGCAGTCCGGCCACTGAGCAATCCCACCTCCACAGTTATCGACATCTTGCATGCTGGACATATCAGATGGCAGGCTGTTCCCGACTACGGCAAGGAACACATTCACATCATAACGATGCACTCCTAGCTGCCCGCTTTTGTAGACCAAAGCTCCCAAAGCTTACACCATAATCCGTTGAGGAAGCCCTACCTGATGAATGATGACGAAATCTCCAGCTTCGGGAAACTCAGTTCCGTAGGGTTTTAATCGCTAGAAGCTTGCAGCCACGCCCCAACTCTGAGCCCACAGACCTGGGTACCGAAGGTTTAGGATTTAGGGTCTAGGGTTTGAGGCTTAGGATTTAGGGCTGATGGGAAGTTTAGATTTTAGGGTTTTAAGAATTTAAGGTTTGGTGTTTTAAGTTCACGGCGAGAGTGCTCAAGGGCCTCGCGGTAGCGTGTACGTCAAACGTTCACTAGGGCTTGGGGGATAGCAATGAAGGTCGGGTTTGGGGCCGCATAAATCGCAAGTCTGGGTATTTTGCAGGCTCCCGCAACCCGAAACCCCAAGCCCTAAACCCTACCTAGAGGCTCAGACCCTACCCCTTTTTTACGGCGCCTACTTTTTAAGGTAACAGATCCTAACCACAAAACTAGGTATCCTAAAAGAAGGGGTAGGGTATGAGCCTCTAGGTAAGCCGCGCCTTTGTAGTACTTTGTGGTCCATCCTTTGCCTCCGTTGTGCTTCTCCTGGCAGCGAACCCCGACAGTGGTCTGTAACAATATCAGCCAAAACTGAAGGCTTACAGGCCTTTCATTCGAAACTCCTAACGCTTAGAACCCGCCATCAAGAGCACTTAATGGCTTCGGGTTTGTGTTATGGGGTGTGAAATTTCAGGCTTGAGGTTCATAGCAGGAGTGTGGCTTGAACTCAAGGCCTTGCAGTTCCTCTGGGCTTTCGTGGCTGTTGGTGGCTTGTTCACTGTACACAATCACGTAGACCGACGCAGACCCCGCGCCCGTGTTAACCCGATTGAAACGAGGCTCGCGCCTTCCATGCTTCGTAGTCCACAACACTGAAGAACTGCAGCTCCTGTGCACCTGATTGGATTTACAGGGGTTTAGGACGTACGAGGTCCAGGAAACATCGGAAACATCTGCACGCGCTACGCCCGAAGCATAACATAAGACGACCCACGAGCAATTCAACTCTACAGCCGAAAAGCTTGAGGTCCACCACGATGCGAAGAGGACTCGGACTATACCATGATTCCCATAGTTTAGGGTCCTTAAGGTAATGCAGGATTTATATCATCAACCAGTAGTACTTAGGAGAGGCCTTTGGTACCGTCTGGTGTATAGATGCATATGGGAGTTTCCGAAAACAGGGGTACCTTATTTTGGGGTCCTTATAATGAGGATCCTATTATTTAGGGAACTATATTAGGGTCCCCTATTTTGGGAAACTCCCATATAGTAGTAGGGAACCCTAAATCTTACCATGAGGGTGGTTGTCAAAACTAGGGTCCCTTTTTGGCTTTTGGACCCTTAATATAATACGGCACCTAATATTTAGGGTACCCAAAAAGGAGCGATAATTCTGACAACCACCCATGAGCCTACAGAAGTTGCAGCTTGGAAGGTCCGAAGAAGTCTTCTGCAGCTCGCGCGATGCAGGCTATTGAGGCCGTGTGTTGGCCAGGAAGATCCCCATTATAGAACCCTTATAAGGAACCCATTCAAAGGAACCCTATGCGAAGTATTAAGGTGAGTTATCTAGGAAGTACCGGAGATGCAAATCCTTCTTCCGAGGTCAGGCAGAGCGAAAGAAGCCACTTCTGCAAGCACTCCTCCAGGACCCCCAAGCGGTTGATGATATAAATCCTGCATGACCCACAATAAGGAATATACCATAATTCCCACAGTTTAGGGTCCTTAAGGTAATGCAGGATTTATACACCTCAAGCCCTAAAACCCTATAGATCCCTTATAGAGCCCTTTAAAGGAACCCCAGGATTTGTATCATCAACAGAAGGACATCGTATAAGAACGAACCGGTCCGCAGACTCACCCTAAGTCCTACATAGGGCCCCCAAAATAGCACATAAGCAAAAATTTGGATACAGTAAAAGCTCAGAAGTTGGAAACTCAATAGCCTCAATCCTTAAGAGTAAGGTCTACTAAGGACTATAGGGATATCCCACATCAATCCCCTTATAATGAAGCCCATTAAGGTGAGATATCCCTACAAATTGCTTGTGCTTATGTCCTGTTTTGGGCCCCTCCTAAACCCTTCCGGGGCGACCCCTTTCGCGGCCCTAGCGGCATTGAACCTAAATCCGAAAATCGCCACACCCAAAGCCCAACCCAGACCAGGGCAGCGCGCCCTTGGAAACTTTGACGATGGGCGTGATGAACTCTTTCCTTGGTCCGAAACCTTAAACCCTGCACCCAGCCCCTACGCGGCCCTGAACTCTAAACCCTCAAAACCATAAACCCTAAACCCTAAACCACCCCCAAACTCCAAAGCGGACAGAACTTTGGAATATCCCTCCGGCAGGAACCGGAAGTTCAAGGCATCTGAGGCTCCGGGCATCCCAAAAAGCAATAACACCATGACTACTGCTGATGGACAAAATCCTGCATTACCCATTATAAGGAATGGGTAATGCAGGATTTTGTCCATCAGGGTTGTAGGGTTTGGGGTGTATAAATCCTGCATTACCTTAAGGACCCTAAACTATGGGAATTATGGTATATTCCTTATAATGGGAAATGCAGGATTTTGTCCATCAACAGTAGGACAGGATTTTGTGCTCCTGTATAGTATAGTCATAATAGGGAACCTTAAGGGATGCTAGCTGCAACAGTGGGCTTCGAGCTCCTGTATAGTACAGGCAGAGTGAGGAACCTTCAGGAATAATAACTAGAACAGAGTTTTGTCCTCCTTTATACGGTTGAGGATGTAAACTCTGCATTACCTCAAGGACCCTAAACTATGAGAATTATGGTATATTCCTTATTATGGGTCATGCAGGATTTATATCATCAACAGTAGCATAGTCAGAATGAGGAACCTTAAGGAGGGTTCTTTATGTATTGCTCATGTTACTCATATTATAAGGCTTCTTTCCATTACTTCAGTATGTAACAGAAGAAGTATCTTGTTTCCCAACACTGATAGAGCACGTCGTACTGCAGCTTCCGTACAACTTGGTTCCGATGATAAGGGCATAGGTGTCCAGGCTATCTGTGCGGGCCGCTCTTTGGGTACCTTAAAGATTAGGTGCCGTATATAAGGAACCAATAAAGGGACCAGAATTTTGACAACCACCTAGGTGTAGAGCCAACGAAGCAAAGGGGACCTTGACTCAGGAAAGCCTCATGTCAGACTCAACAGAACCGTACCGGTTCAAGACCCCCCAGCACATGTACAGGCTTACAGTTGTATCTTTTCTATAGAAACCCTAAACCCTAAACCCTAAACCCTAAACCCTATAGACAGCCTTTGACTGGAAAACAGAACCCACTGACTGGCCCTATGATGTGTAGTTGTGTCTGGGGCCCTCAGGCCCTCCAAATTCATGAGTTCAAGCCTCACTAACCCAGAAAAGATGCATCACTCACCCTTGATCTACCAATCCCAACCCCTAAACCCCTAAACCCCTAGGCTTGAAGTTCAAGACGGACCCCGGGCCCGGTGTACCATCGGCAGATCAGAAAAGCCTGAGCCAAAAACCGCACAACATCACCGTCGAAGCCTACAGAGCATCCCTCTAGTCTCCATTGTAGTTCCTTTTGTTGGTTAACCAAAAACTCTATTATAGGATCCTGACCATAAAACTGGTTAACCAAAAAAAGGAACTACAATGGAGACCATAGGTCTTCATGAAGCCCAAGGCGCAAACCCAAACCTTGAAGAGACAGTTGGGTGGTTGTCAAAATTATGATCCCTTTTTGGGGTCCCTGTTATAGTACGGCACCTATTTATTATTCAGGGTACCCCAAAAGGGGCCATAATTTTGACAACTACCCAGTTGTCAGTCTGCCTAAATCCGAAAGCCTGACAGCCAGGAATCCAGACACTCCCGGCCCCGAAGGTCTCAAACAGCTGGAAACCACCCCAGGATCGCCTCCTTGCCTTTTGTCCTACACCTCCAACTTGCGAAAAGACATCCAAATCCCAAACCCCCCCAAACTCAAAAGAACTCTGTTCTTAACCTCAAATCTCGGCTTGAATGACCCTTCGCACCGAGGCAAGGGCATGAAACCCTCCTGAGCAGTGAAGAGGAAACTTCAGTGTGTCTGTGAGATTTGCTGTGGGCGGCCCGGCTGTTGGGGCTTCGTGTTTAGGCTTTGGCATTGTTCTGCCTACTTGTCGGGTATCATGAGGAACTAAAGGTTGACTTTTTTCGTTATATAGGGGTTATATAGTGGAATGGTATCTGAGATTGCTCCTGACACTAAACCCTAAACCCTAAACCCTGAACCCCAAACCCTAAACCCTAAACCCCAAACCCTAAACCCTAAACCCTGCAGCTTGAACCTGATGGATCTGAGGCGAATGCTGCTTGAACAACAAGGTGCGTCCTGCTTTGACGGAGCACATATGCATGACGATACCTTTATCTATGTGTGCGGGGATGGCAGTGTAGGAACTTTAAAACAATACGCTCCCTCAAAACCTTAAAACCCAAACTCGGCCCAAAACCGCTGTACCCCACCTGCGTGACCAGCCGTAACAAGACAGAGAACAGCCATGTCCTTGCCCTTGCAGTCGTGTGGCGAGCTTGAAGAGCGATGGCCACCAGTGCTGGATCATGTTTAGGAGCAACCCCTCGGAGCAAGCGCTGAGGTGCACACCTAGACCTTGAAACCTAATTTAGGGGCCTTATACTAATTGGAAGAGGGTTCTGGGGGGGGTGCCTTACGATAACTATAGTATGATATGTCCCCAAAACCCTATTCGAATTATTAAGGCCCCTATATTACGCCCTACGCAAAGCTCTAAGCAATTACGACACTAACTGCTGGAGTCTCAACAAACTCCGAATCTCCTCAGGAGTTTGAAAGCCATGCTCAGCGTGGCTCAGCCAGTTCGGTGTTGCACAACCCTAAGGTCCTTGTTTACGGTTTTTAATACCCAAAAAGACCCTAAAGTCCTATAATAAGGAGTACTTCGGTTGATGATATCAATCCTGCATTAACTTAAGGACCCTAAACTATGGGAAGTGTGGTATATTCCTTATCATGGGTCAGGATTTATATCATCAAGCGTTGGACCCCCTGGACAAGATAACATTTGCTTGGCTATTGCTCCAACGATTCAGAAGCTTCAGTCCAAGGGTAAAAAGGAGGGACACTTAAGAAGGATCCTAGGTATATACCCTTAATATAGCCATTTTTCCAGCGTGCAGACACGGAGGTCTGAGCACAGAACCCTTAATGTCAGATAAGCAGCGTCGGATCTGTGGCGGCGTGAAGCCGGAGGCAGAAAAGACTGACTTGACTCTATCGAACCTACTGTTACTGGGTTTAGTGAAACATGAAAACCTCATTTAAACAATTAGGTGCCTTCGTCATCTGAGGACAAAACTAGACTCGGTTCACGGGAATCTGCAGATGGGGACAGGTGCGATCAGGACTTTATGATGTGTCCTGGGGGTGGACACTCATTCGGTGACGACACATTCGGTGACGAAACATTCGGTGACGAAGCTTTCGGTGATGCAGCTTCTGTATATAATATCTTCTTGGCTTAGCAGAATATCAAGAACGTGCAAAGCCGATCTTAAGTTGCCTAGCGTTGATTGTTGAAGATCCCTTGTCTGTGTATCGCGTTCTGTATTACGTACTGTTGATGTTCCGAATTACTCTCATCATAGTTTTCTTGTCTCCCCAATAGCAGAAAAGCATCTTTAAACGTCTCATGCAACCATGATGCTCTGGGTTTTCCTGGTCTTCTATACTCATGTCTTGTGACAAATGTGTATGGTTCGAAGATCACTTGTCTCATAGGGTCGTTATGGTTCGTTCGGAGTATATGGCCCAGCAGTTTAACTTTTCTTTTCTTCCATGTCGCAGAAAATTTTTCAATGTCCTTTTGATAAGTTGTCCGTAACATATCTAATACTTTCTGGTTGGTGTACGTGCGGTCTATGTGAGTCGGAGGGATTTTGAGAATGCGTCTTATTCCCTTCATCTGGAATGAATTTATTTTAGATACGTCCGATGCAGTAAGCTGTATGCATTCTAACCCATAAAGTATTTTACTTTTCAATATAGACTCGAAGACTCTGATTTTCCATTGTATTGTATTTTGCGCCTTGTTCCAAAACAACTTAAGCCTGTTACATGTTGAAAGTGCATCCGCTATTCTGTTTTGAACCTCTCTGTGGTTGTTTACATCATCCGTTAATAAAGTTCCTAAGTACGTCGCATGATGTTTACGCGGAACAAGTGTGCCGTCAATGTACTTTATGCTGGATTGTTTTTGGTTAAGAGTAAGGTTGATACATTTGTCGTAGTTTAGTCGCATGTTGTAATAATCGGATTCTGATTGTATTTCATGCAACAGTTTGTTGATGGTGTGTGTGTGGGTGCCAAAGACTAGAGTATCGTCAGCATATAGTATCTCGGCAAATCGCATGCCTTTTATTGGTTCTTGCTGCTTCGGCGTATTCAGTTTTGTCTTTATGTCACGGAACATGGCAGACATTAGGATGGTAAACAGATATGGTGATAAAGGACATCCTTGTCTTATGCCAGAATGTTGTCTCCTATTTGCGGAATAATTTTCTTCTGCTCGTATCCTAAACTGAGGATCTTCATACATCTGTTCCACGAGTTTCAGCATTTTTGGTGGGGTTTTGATCCTGCGTAGAACCTGTAGCAACTTAGACTGACTTACTTTGTCAAACGCCTTTTCCCAATCTAATAAAATAATCGAGATATTGGAGTGTTGACGTTCTGCCATATCTAACAAACGTCGTGCCAAAAAAATAGCTTGTGCTGTTGATTTGCCAGGTCTAAAACCGTATTGAGTTTGTGTTATCCAAGGATCATAAGCAGCTATGAACCTTCCGCGGAGTAAACCTGCAAGGAGTTTATAAAAGACTTGTAGCAGTGCAATCGGTCTATAGTTTTGCATGCGAGTGGCGTCTCCTTTTTTATAAATAGCTGCAATGTTGGCGTGCTTGAAGGACTCTGGGTACTGCTCAGAGGTGATAATGTGGTTGTAGAACTTTAGCAGGGAGAGCCTGTTAACTTCATCAAGCCATTTTACCAATTCTGCTCCGCATCCATCTGGACCTGGTGCTTTGTTGTTTTTCTGTGCGTTAATAACAACATCTAATTCCTGCATGCTGAACAAATCCGCTTGCATGGTGGACTCACCTTCTATTAGGAAATTAGTCTCTTTGGAGTGATCTAGATTATCATTCTGCGGTTGTGCCCATTGTACTTCAGCAAAGTATTTCGCTGCAGCTTCTGCAAAGTCTTTTTCTTTGATGAGATTGCCGTCTTTATCGCGGTATTTTATACGTTTTGGTTGAAATGTTTTCCTTGCTTTTTTTAATCCATCCGTGCTTTCCAATGCTACGATTTTCTCCCGGTAGTTGTTCCATAAGTCTCGCGTTAAAATCCCCCATAACAATGTTGATATCATGACGCTTCCACCCCGAAATTTGTTGAGTAAGAGAATCGTAATGCGCTGCTTTGTCCTGTTTTGAATGTCCCGCGTGTGGTGCGTGTGTTGCTAAGATGTTTAAACGGATCGGCACATCATTGATGCGTAATGAAATAATCTTGTTGTTTATTGCGGCAATCTCGATCTCCATATATGGACTACGCTTATAAACTATAGCACATCCAAGTTTCTCTGTTGATTTTTAAAATTCCACCGGATATTGCACAACGAGAAATTCTCGTTGTGCAATATCCGGTGGAATTTTGTCTTTTTTGACTTTATTATTATATTCATCTAATTGTGCGTCAACTTGCTTTCTCTTGTCATCATCGATATTACTTGTGAAATAGAAAGCATAGTTGTCATGAATCTCTTTTCCCGTGTAGTTTATGTGAGTTTCTTGCAATGCCAATATGTCAAGGTTGTGTTTTTCCATTAAGTAAAGAATTTGTTGTCTACCAGTAATGAAGTTCATGCCACGTACATTGAAAGTAGCTATTCGGATCGTTCGATTTATGGTTTTTGATTTGGTTGTCGGGGTGGTCGATGTCTTTGCTTCTTGTGTTTCACTATTCCCAGCTTCACGTTCGTTGTGCTGGTCGTTTACAAACTGGTTTTCCGATGATATATGCCTAAATCTTTCTTCGGCAAGGATTCTTTCTTGAGCCTCTGTGAGAGTGTATGGAAGCTTGGCCAGAGCCTTCCAACACTGCCTCGCCCTTCGGTATTCTCTCCTGTTTATACTTCTACGGTATCTTCTGCCACTTTTGTGGCTGATTATGGCAATTTGAGATCTTTTCCCTCGTTTGTGTGTGCGTTTTCCTGGGTGAGGCTTGGGTTCTGGACTCGTTTTGTTCGCGCTCCTTTCCTTAGAAGGTGGGCGCGTCTCCCGCCGTACCAACGGTTGGGGGGTAGAGTCGGGCAGCGTACTGTTAGGATTAGCAGTATGTTTATTCTCCAGGTATGCGTTAGTGTTATGATTATATCGGCTTTCAACGTAGAGACTAGTATTACAAGTACAAGTCATTCGGTGACGAGTCATTCGGTGACGAATCATTCGGTGACGAATCTTTCGGTGATGGACCACTTTATGCTCCACTTGCGTAACAACTTTGCTGTCATCACCTGCTACTCCCCGTTTACAATACCTGTATCGCGCTTGGCAGTCCACTTTGTTTTCATCCCGCGCGCGTGTTGGAAGGCAACGTCCCTACAGGACCGTATCGGGCTCTAAGATGCGCTTGGCTATCTTGTTCAGATGTTCGTCGTATTTGGTTGGAAACTCTTCCTGTGCAATGGCCCTTACTTCGAAAAGAAACGGGGCTCTTGTCTTCAATGCTTGCGTTCCCATTCTCAAATATGAGCCTTTCCCTTCACTTCCTAAGCCTACGGCTTTCAGGAAATCCCCTGGCGTCAGTACTCCTTCCTGCTCGCTGCGCTTGCCCTTGCCCTTGTTGCCAATCACCTTGCGGCTCATGTTCGCGGAGTACGCGGCTTGGAATTCATCCTCAAACTGTCTCGCCGAAAACAACTTCTTGGCCACGTAGATTTTGGCAGTCCCGTGGAGGTGGTCTATGGCCACCCAGGCTAGGTAGTTCTCTGTGTCCTTCTCCTGGATTGTCAAATGTTTCCACGAATGCTTCCACTGGGTGCTTGGCGTAAGTTTGGAGATCACTGTCATAATGGCTTTCAGAGGTTCCGTCTGTAAGCGGTCAAAGGTGGAAATGCATGGCTCGAATTTGATGTAACCGTTGATGCCATCTCTGTTGTTGCCGCTCTGAAAAGTCTGGAGCTTGTCATTGTTCCATTCAGCGATCCCCTTCTTCTCACCGTTTTGCATGAACCATTCCATGATCTTCTGCCTATTTGCAAAGCTGCCCGCATCTACCATACTGAATGGCGATATGTTCCGTCCTTTGCGATGATCATAGCTAAACTTTTCAATGTCTTTGTCATGGACTCCAGCCTGCTTCGCAACCCATGAAATCATGGCCTCACGATGGTGGAAAAGGATTTGTGCATTCGCGTCATTGACCTCTACATACTGCCACCAGTTCTTCACCATGATCTTCCTGGCCGTTTCCCCTCTTTGTCGATCTACTTCATGGTATAGCAGAAACGCGAGTTGGTTTTGGGATGCCCTCATCTGA